CACGCTCATGCACTGTGCGTCGGGTATTCGCATATTTTACGCGCTGTGAAATCGATGCAGCGACAGTTGCGCTGGCGTGAGGATCCTAATTGGCGGTATACTTGATTTACCCTTCCTGGGCAACGCGCCTGACATCTGCACCAATGCGCAGGCAGCGCACGAACCTCTCCTTCTGGGAAATTAGAGTTAGATAGGGTACGCGCCGGCTTTCCCGAAGTAAGCACCTTACTCCGTACTCTTCTCGGCTGAGTGCCATAAACCTTCAAAAGGAATCTTGAAATTGACTGTCATTCTCAGCTTGTCCGGAGGCCCCGGACCTACTCCAACGCCATACGAGACCCCATCGCTCTACTGTTGGAGACAAGCGCCTGTGATGGGCAGGTGATAGAAAGCCTGGAACGTACTTTGAGATACGGACAATCACCGAACCTCATCGGATCACACACTTGACAATGTGGGCAGTTTTAGGTTCGATCTTTCGCCATGATCAGCCGGCTATGAGTGGCTGTCGGTGGCGGCCGAAGTCTCCGATTGTTTCGAGTTAATCAGCAAGTCAACGACATCACTAACTTCCAAGTAATGCATGAGCAGGTCGGGTATTCGGGGGAAGACAGGCGCAAAGGGGCTAACGCATCCGGATCGGATCCTTTAGGGTCTTAGCGGACTGTGCCACTGGCGCGCACTGTGGAGATGGATCGCAGCTCGCGAACTCGCAAATCGCAAATCACAACCAGTTCTTGCCCTGGCTAGACTGTCCTTGAATTCGTTCTATGACAGCTGTGACGGCACACATACTAGCGAGGGAAATCTCGTCTGTGGTTGAAAATGATTGGACGAATTGATTAACGTTGGAGCCCTCGTTTCAATGTTGGACCCATAAGCCTCTCATTTGTCACTGTCCACTGAGGGTGTGCGGCCCTCGATCCCCCAAGGATTCTGAAGGCGATTGTCTGTAGCCGAGATGACAACCATTGTCACTTGTCAGGCTCTTTCATCCGCTCTTTCACGGGAGCTATGAAAGTAACGGCTAGAAACCTGTCAAGCCTGTCAAGTGCAAACCTTGCAGCACTCCATAGGGATACACCAATTGCCCGAGTTCTCCCCATCCTATCGCAAAGACCATTATCTGGCGATTGAACTTTCTTGAGGGTGACCTAGAAAATAGGACAACAACCCCATAGTACTTTTATCGAGCTTCAATCTGCAGGAATGAGCGACGAACGCTTCGGTTGCTCTAGACTGTCCAGTCGAGACGGGGCTCAATTCCGGCCTTAGTGAAGTCCAACGCATTCCCAGAATGGAATCCAAGTGCGCACCGAGGAGGCTGATTCCAAATCCAATTGCTTGATTCTCAGAGAGCTGTCCATCCAGCTACAATCACTGGGCAATGGCAGAGCAGGCGGAGATGGACTCCCGCCTCCCGTCCAGGCTGTCTCTCCAAGAGTCCAATCACGACCCAAAGTCGGTGGTCCGGGGCATCGGCGGATCGCTGCCAACTCCGCCGATGGACCTCGGGCCGGGGTCTTCAATGCGGTATAGCGTCGATTCTGCGCTGGGCCTGGCCAAGGTTCGCCGGATCCGTGGACTGGACCCGCTGTGATGGATGATGTCGATGATGATGCTCTCTCCAGCGGTCCCCACTCCTTACGGCCGTAAGAGTACTTTGGCCATGGCGGCCTCAGGAAAAGGAGATGCCATCACGAGTGCTGCCTAGAAATCGGGAAGTGATGATTCTGTGATTCAGTCGTGAGTTCAGTGGCTTTTGGATTAGTCTCTACACGGTAATCCATCTTCGTTTCCAGTTGCGTACTCACTAACCGTGATTGTAGAATGTACTCTGTACTACGTTACGTGCGTACGGAGCACGCATCGTACTTGTACTCGGGACTTCGCTGGCGCCTTCTTGGCGGTTGAATAGTGCATGCATATTTACTGCATTACTTCAGCATATCGCTATGCATTCTACGGAGTAGATCTGCGATGAAGTTTGTACTATGTCCTGCCGCTATACAAGTATGCGAGTAAGTCTATCTTTCTAAACAGTGTCTTCTGATTTGCGATCAAGTAACGTCTAGCGAGGCGTCCCTCGCATTACTATGTGACAGGAGCAAAGATAGACGCCGGCATTTGCCTATGGGCTAGCATCCGATATTCTGCATATATATTTCTCATATCACTCCATATCTGCTGAGGAGTGTCGAGCTGCCGAGCACAGTATTCCCCCTTGCACGAGTCGCTGCTACCGCTTCGCCCGTAAATTCGAAATACGCACAGGACCGAGAACCTGCCAACGCGTACCCAGTCACCAAGCAGACTAAAGTACAGGGGTAGATAGTCTCTGAGCGTTGCGGTTAACACAACATCTCAACTGCAACAAGGACCGAAGCTACATGCCAGATATGGACTATTTGGGGCCTATGTTGTCTTGCCTCCTCAATATCTAGTTCGCGCCAGCTGCAGGATGCATATGCATGTACCTCCCAGCTAAGCAACATGTTCCCTGCTAGGCTGCCTGCATGATTGCTTAGCCTAGTCCGGCTTCTTCTCTCCCCGCAGTCTCGCTCGCCCCTGTGCAGCGAGGACCCAGACTCGGCCCTAGTCTCAAGTTTCGAGCAGCATCGAGCCCAGCATCAGTTATAGGCTGGGGCTAAGAGCCAAAGGACATGCATGCAGTTATCCGAGTACCACCAACGACCCAAAGAAGACCGAAGCATGGTCAGAATGTGTGCTCGATAAGACATTGCATTTCAAGGCATCGGGACTTAAGACATCAGCCTCTGACATCAGCTCAGGCAAGCTCGTCAAAGCCCAAGAGCGAGACTCGTTAAAAGCAACGACGCCCCAGGTTTGCTGCATGATGCATCTGCTGCATGCAAGCAGCCGCCCGAAATCTGTGCAGCCTCCCGAAAAACAGAGACATTGTCTAAGCCGGCCACCGGGACCCATTCCGCCAGCTTTTTTTCTTTTTTCCTTGGTCGTACCACTCCCGGCTGACAGTGCGTCTACTCCGCAAACTGTATATTGGGATACACAAGAGGGTGCGCTATTGGGTGGAAGCGGTGGAAGCGGAGAGCGACGGGAAGGGGTTCATGCAGGGCTCTGCCTTTGTCTTCTCGCGGACCGGTGGAGTATATTTCCGTGGTTATACTCGGAATGGCGGATGGGATACGGAGTATATGCAGGGATTAGGTACGGAACTTGGGGACTTAGGGCTTGGGCTTGGGACTGCATGCGGAGCGCTCTATCGGACGTGTCAGTCCTGGGTTAGGAGTCTATGGTAGACTACTCGTTGACGTAGAGATGTACTTGCTGCTCACCACACCACAACTAGTTACGCTCTAGGTCCAACACTGGATCCCTTTGTCAACAAGGGAGTCGGCATCTTGCTGAGCCTTGTCGTCCTCGGTGCACTGACAGTGGTTCCTCATGCACCTACCCCATCCTTGTCTCGAAGCGTCATCAGGGCCTCCAAATGCAGTAGCAATACGGATAGGTAGCAACCTTGGGGCATAACATCGGAGCCAGCTCCACCTAGACTAAGCCGTCTCACTCTTCATCCATCGCATCGGCAGGTCAGTCCTGCAAGCATCCGAGACGACCATACGTCTCTCCTCTCGCCTCCCACACTCCCTCCTCGACACCACCCACCAAGCTATCCAAATCCACAGCCAGGTATCTCGTTAGTCGTTACCAATACCGAAAATGCACTGCACCGGACGCGCCTGGGATAGCCCCCTGCAACGGGCTCCATCCACCCAGACGGCAAACCCCGCGCCCCGCCTGTCCCCCTGCAGCCCGAATTGAAATCTCACGCCGCGCTAGAGTACGAGACTGCGGAGTAGTAGTACGGAGTACGGAGTACAGAGCCATCGTTTCGAGTCTCACTCTCGGGTAAGCAAGCCGCCCGTCGACGCGGCGGCGGCGGGTGCGGTGCGAGATGGGCGGCTGTGCAATGTGCATGCTGCGTCCTGCATCCTGCATCCTGCAGCTGGAGCTTGTTTGCTATGCGCCTAAAGTGCTAGCAGCCTAGCACTGCTTGTGCGGACTACGGACAATGGGATTAGTCCTGCGGGCATGTCCCAAGGCAGTGGGGGCTAGCGACTCCGTAGTCGTACATGATAATAGGATTATCCTGCGTGACGCCAGCGGGGGCTACTGCTTCTGCAGGGATTGAGAAGTAATGGTGCATTAGTGGTGCGTGCTAGCGCATGGTTCTCCTTCTGGGAGGGTTGGATGTTGAGTAGGAGGGTGGACTGGACTAGGTTCAGATTGTCCAAAGGGAGTATACATGGGAATATATCAGGTAAGGCCTTATATTAGACCTTGATATTGATGGGAGACTAGATTATCAGGTATAGGTGTCTCATGTATGCGAACTCCAGCTCCCAAACCATACCAGACCAACGCCAACTGCTGCACCGAGATCCTATCCGATTCGTTGTACCCATTTGTGTATAAAGAAGTGTATGCATGCATCCGTCCCAATCCGACTCTTAGTACATCCGAACTGACTGACTGAAAGTCCAAGCGTGCAGGAGGAAGAAGTCAAAAGCGAAAATGGGGCGACACGAGATAAGCTGACGACAGGCAAAGAAGGAGTAAACATCACATCCAATCCGTGGAGAGATCCACCCATACCAGATGATAATCGTACAAAATCGTCTATCAAATCGATAGTTTTGAGACAGCGGGAGGTTGCCGTCATGTCTCAAGTGCTGTCGTTCAATTAACCTCACGGGCGTACCCACTGCTTCCGATCAGTGAAACAGCTTCACCGATTTGTCGCTGCTAATGTTTCCGAGGCATGGTCGGACGAGCACAGACCTCAGACCAGACCAGATGGGGAGCGCGTATATCCGACCAGATGCGTGACTGGACCCACATAGGTATCCGAACTGGCGGGCTTTGTTCAATGTTGCAGCTCATGAATCAATAACGTAAGAAGTAGTGGAAATGAAGTGGTCGGTTAGAGAAACATGGTTCAACTGCTGATGTGGTATCTATGGACGCGAACTATCAATGCCTGGCTGCGTGGGCTCGGGCTTCGGAACCAATGGCGACGGCTCCAGCGGGGGGATGCGATTGATGGACGGCGACATTGCATGCTGACCATTAGCTTGCGACAGATGGCCGTGTAGACCCATCGCGTTCTCTCTCTGCCTGCGCTCCTCCTGCTCCGGCGTCATGCACTTCACTGGGGGCGGGATCGGCGCGTCCGGCGAACTCCTCCCCATCAACTTCGGGCTTGGCTCTAATCTTTGTACTGGAGGCAAGATCGGTGCTCCCGCCATGCCTCCGGCAGTCAGAGGCCGTGGCGAGGGCTTGGTAGGACTAAGGCCGGAAAGCAGATGATGAGAATGGGGGGACGATGCCCGGTTGGCGGTAGGTGTCGCTACGAACGATCCATTCCCGCTGTGGACTGACGAAAATGAAGCCTGGTGGGCGGTGCTGGGACGCGGAGTCTGATGCTGTCCATACGGCGTCCATGGCGTAGGAGCTGGGACGGGACCGTCGGACGAAGCCATGGGGGGGAATCCCGCCAGAGGACCAACGTCGCGATTGCCTTGCGTCGGTGACATCGAGGGTCTGTTTTGGATAGGAGACGGGAGAGTCGGGCTGTGGATCGAGTGAGAGGATGATGGTCGTTGTGCGAAGGAAGGAGCGGGAGGAAGCGGGCCACGGCCGTTAGGGACAAACTGGTGAATCGGAGGCAGCTTCGGCTGCTCTTGAGAAGGAGCAACGCCGTTTACACCTTTTGAAGGGGAGAATGGAGCGCGCGACGGGCTGAATGAGCTCGCATTTGACTGAGGTCGGCGTTCAGGAGAAGTAGGCAACGGAAGCTGGGTAGGCTGAGGTAGGGAAGGTTGTTTTGAGGGCGACCCATTGACGACCGCATCTTCTTCGTTCGTAGGTGGAATGGCTTTCGTCTCAGAATTACCATCGGCGTTGGATGGCGAAGAGCCAACCTTGAATTTAAGCGGCGGTAATTTCGGGAGTTTTGCATCCTCCTCGCGGCGTTTGCAATCCCGGCAGACGAAATGAAAGTCCTCGCGCTCGGCCTCCTCCTGTTTGATTCCAAGGCACTTGCTGTGCTGCCACACATTGCAATTCTCGCAGGCAACACTGTGGGAACCATCGTCCTAACCACGTTAGCAAAGCACAGGTGTTGGCGAGTTAGACTTACAATGTTTTCTCCGTGAACGCCACAGCCGGAGCAATCAAAGATCCACTCATCCTCTTGAGAGAGGTCCTCCAAGTTCTTTCGCTGCTTCTCCAATTCAGCCTTGAGCTGACGTTCGGAGATCCGGCTTTCTCCTCTTTCAAGCTTCTTTTGCTCCTCCTCGATCCTTTCCAGCTCAGCCTCATGCAGGACGCGATTCCTCTCACGATCTTTGATCCGCTGTTCGCGAGTCATGATACGTGAATGTCGATCATTCTCCATCTTCTTCAACCGGTCCTCCTCCTTGCGAGCGGCCGCTAACTCTTCCTCCCGCTTTTGAGCTGCCTCAATGGCTTCTCGTTCATGCCGTTCTTTCTCGCTCTTCTGGGCAAGGCGACTAGACCTCTTAGCGCCAGCAAGGAGTTGAAGGTTGACAAGCTCTTTCTCGCGCTTGACCTTCTGTCGCTCCTGGGCCGCTTGCTCCTGCTCAATGATCGGGAGCACCTGATCTTCAATTCTGTCCCGAAGTACCTTCTCATCTGCATCCCTCGTATTCCGTATCGAATCAAGAAACTTTTGGTAGTCCTCCAGCGAAATTGCAATGCACTCCCACTTCATCGACGCGTAAGGGTTCTCAACGTCGACATTAACTTCGGTGTTGTCCTCCTCTGACTCCTCATCGTACTCCGCGTTGGCGACTTTTCTCCGCTTGGATGCTCTCACGGCTCGTGGGTTCTTTCTCTTTGTTTTTGCCTTCGACTTGGCAGGCTTCGGGGGAGGAAGGGGAGGATCGGTGCGGCGATAAAGTCTATTGTCGTCTAGAATGTAGTAATAACGGCCTTGTCGGTCATATCCAACTTCTTCAATACGCTGCGTCCGTCAGCCTGCGTCGCAAGGTGGCGCGAAGATGCAATACTCACCCACTGTAACTGATCCGTCTCCCTTTGCTCCGGCATCTTATCACGGATCCGATCGGGGTTCCAGAACGTCCAGACGGTAAGCTGGTGAAGGACGCGCAGCTTCAGGAATACATCGAAATCCAAAAACCTATTCGGGACCTCGTCGTACCCGAAGGGGTTCGTAAGATGTGAAGCTTTCGCATTGTACTGACGTCGCGTGTATTCATCGAAGTTATCGAACCTGCAGCCATAAAAGACAATTATAAGCTTCGGCAGTCGCAAATACAGGGTTGTGCACGTACGTGAGGCCGCGATGCGACGAGACCCATTTGAGCAGGCAGAGTCCAATCTCCAAGAGCTTTTCCGAAGGACCAGGCTTGAGACATTCGTTTTCCAGGTCCTAAAGACGCGAAATATGTCAGCCCGCGATACATTACACGTACGCTAGCGATCTTAGGGCCGGCGTAGTCGCGTACCTCAATTCCAAAATCCTCGTCGATTTTCATGAGTTTCCCAAAGATCGCAATATACTGCATCAGGTTCGCAAACTCCCAGCAGTTCCGAAGCTGCGTTAACAGGCCAGGCTCCTCGTGTGGCTGCTTGGTCTGCTCCGGGGCAGCGTCCGCCTCGGAGCGGGTGCGCTTTCGCGATACCATGGGCGCGGTTCGAGACCTAAAAAGGCGCCGCGGCGCAGGGGCAAAATTCGGACAACCTGAGCTTTCGACAACGTGCGGGAAAGATGACGTTTAGAGGTATGAGAGAAGAGCAAAGGTGTGCAAAATTGCCGTTTTGATCCTAAAAATCAGAAAATGGTTCACTCCAACAGGTGGGCGTGTTCAGGCGAGAAGAACGGATGAGCTCACAGAATCTCCGGGAGGCGCGTTGAGATCCGCCCGTCAGGTGACCTACGATAAGGCTGAGAGCGCTGAGAGTATATCGTAGTATAACCGTAGTATAAAAGTACAGAGCAGCTTAGGGAGGCACTGAAGAGATCGGGAGGTAATACAATTGTATTTGAGAGTAGGTGAGGTATGATCAATTGCGACTAAAGAACCAGAGTCTCAGCCAACTAACGAAACACATAACTAGATCTTGGTATCTCGCATCACAGGTCTATTTCACTCATATGGAGGGCGGAAAAAGACCAGAGGACAATGAAACAGAAACAGAGCGCCGTCCATATCAATATCCACGCCATCAAACAGCCATGTACCATGATGACCATAAGAAATAGTGTGTAGATGGATAAACAGGGGAATAAGGTGACCGGAAGATGAGGCAGAACAAAAAAATAATCACAAGAAAGCAAACCCTGGCCAACAAGAAACCAAACCCAGCCCAGTATGCTGATGAACACCATTGCTGTTGATCTCTCATTCAAACAAATCGCCCCCTGCTCATGCTGGTATCCCCAGTTCTTTCAGTTGTTTTTGGGGTTTTCGTTTTTCCCGTCATGCATGTATACCGCAGTTGCGCCTTGTAACCATTTCGCCGGAGCCGTCCCATGCAAGTCGTAAGTGTATCAAATATACCAAAGAAATCGAAATCGAAATCGAGGGGAAACAATGCTTTTCAACTTTTTACATAGCAACACCCGCTGCGCCGTCGGACACATTATCGGAGAGATTGATGAGAAGTTGGGCGAGACACCGCTTCGTGGCTGCGTCATCGCGAAGGACCGATGAAAAGGTGGCATCGCGTAAGGGTTCAGGAAGACATTGGCGTAGGGCCTCACGAGCACGGCTGTTATCGCTGAGTCTAGTAATGTTAGAACGTAGCTAAACCGATAAGTAGCAAGGACGTACCGAAGAAAGCAGCGCACGACATGTTTGAGAAGTCTCACGGTCTGCTGTTCAACGAGCTGGGTGACCATATTGCTCAGAACCGTCCCAACCGCGTAGAACCTCTCATATGTCGCGCAGATGTACGCTAAGCCAATGTCGTCTAGGAGGATCTTTTGAACAATGAAGATGGCGACTGTTTTGCTCAACTCCGAACCGGTTTCCATGATCCGAAGACAGAGAGGAATTATCTCGGTAGTGAGGAGGAAGTTGATGACGTCTGACGAATCGTTCTTGACCAACGCGCCGATCACACCCAGCGATGTTAGACGTAGGTACTCAAACGGCCGAGATTTCGATGTGGTATTCAAAAAGGGATAGAGAAACAGAGGAATGTGAGCTGTTAGAACGTGAAAGGGTTAGTAGGCGGTTTCTAACCAAAGAGGGGCCGCAACGTACCATTCAAGAAGAGGGTGCGAGTCTCATTGTGAGACGCTACGCACTGTAGCAGAGCCAAAGCATTGCAGACCCGATTTGAAGCCGCAGCGGTAAGTTGTGAAGGGTTCAGCAGGGGGTAGACTGATATAATTTCCTGCAGCAGAGCGGTCATGACACCTAATAGTATCAGGTCAGCGGGTGAGATGGGAAGCCTGATCGAAAAGACCTTACCAAAAGAATGCCAGATGACGAGTGCCAACTCCGGCACCTGTTCTCTCTTCTTGCTGAGCTCCATCAAAGCAGCCTCCCTGCGAGCCGGGTCGAGAAGCTCCGCAACCCACATAAAGACCTTCCGGTTCTCATCGCTGACTCCGCCATCGATCATGGACATCGCACTCGACAGCGCGCCATCCCCGCCGACGCCCCCAGCACCGACTCCCGGAGTGGAGTTGTTCGCCGCGGCACTACTGTTCAAGGCACTGGGGTTGGCCATGGCGATTCTCGAGTAGTGCTGTTGCTGAGCTATGTGGGCGGCGGCGGCGGCGGCCTGTACCTGGGCATGCTGCTGAGTGACCAGCGAGGAATGCTGCTGGGCCTGGTGCGGGTGGTGCTGGGCTTGGTGCTGCTGCTGTTGATGCTGCAACCAGGCGGCATCAGCCTGCGGGTACTGATGCTGGTGAGTGAAGACGTGCTGGCTTTGCGTTTGGAGCATGACGGGCCGACGAAGGATCAGTCCTCAGGAGCGTAAGTGCTGCAATCGGCCCTGGCCGACCGGAAAATTCGAATTGACGGTAGGGAGGGGCGGGGGAAGAAAGCGTTGTCAGTGAGCTGAAGGCGATAGAAAATTCATTGATTGATATGCCGAGCCGGGTTGCAAACAGTGAATGGAGGGGGGACACTCGCAGCGAGTGAGTGGGAGAGGGTCAGGTTGGCTTGGATGTGAAACGGTGATCAAGGCGAGCGAGGTTCGGGCTCCGGGAGGCGGGGAGACGGCGAGACGCAGGTTCCGACCGGGGGCTCAACTGACTCAGATACAGTACGCTTCAAGCTAGCGTCGTCCACTCATGCCTAATCCATCTCCTCAGGTCCAGGGCAGAGTCCAGAGTATATCTGGCCAATTCTTTCACTTCAGATTCAATGGCTTGCTTTGTTGCTCGGGAACGTGGAGCTACTTGAAATATCCCCAGCTTTACAACCGTCGAGGCCCGAGCTTGTTACACGCAACGCACGGGTTATTCTGACAGATGCATGGCTGGCACAGAGCTACGTGCAGTATTCGTATCCATCTAGGTACCCCGTGCCTACCTTGGTGGTAGCAGCTTGACTCGGTGCGTCTTACTTGCAGCTCCCTTGCCAACTGCGCCCTTCCTGTGCCTGCGTTGTTGCGTTGCTCCGACGTCCTTCCGATATCAGGAGCTTGACGGAGTGACTATACTCCTTGAAAAAACCGGGCTGCCTGCTGTTAATGTCATATTGCTTCTTTATCTATACCATTGGTGAAGAAACTGTCTGGTAAGGGGTATTCACATTCTCATCATAAGCTATTTACAGTCAAGGCGTATCAACATGCAACATCAATGCGAAAGGAAACATACAACACATCAAAGTCATTGCTCATAATACAGGTATTTTGCAACAGAGGGGAGCTGCCATCGAAAGGCAGTCGAACAAGTACATCAGTCGTGTCGTCTCACATATATGAAGAGAGGTCGAATCATATCAAGAAATCGTGGAATCATGTCGGCCACTTCACCGTGTCGTCATCAATCGTTATGCCCGGGACCTAGATCGTCCTGATCGTCTGCTCCGTCGAGTCCGTCGGTCTGAGCTCGAGCTCGCTATGAACAGTTAGCAGGATGATCCACCCTCAATGAGACCAGGAGGGCACTTACTCGTGCTGGTGTAATAGCTATAATAGCTTGGGTACGTGTAAGAGGTGCTGCTCTTTTCGTCGCTGTGGTCCCCCTTTCTTCTCAGCCCGAGGCAAAGCGCAATTGCACCGAATATGATTCCAAGAGTCGCGAGTTTGCCCCATTTTGATTTATGCTCGTCCTCGTGCGGAGGCCCAGACGGGCGAGTGCCGAACCACGTGCGGCCAGGCCGATGCGTGTGATGCGAATGATGTTCTTCCACATATGTCGTCTCCTGCCGTCTCTTCCGTCCAATGCCCAAGCAGGCGAGGATGCTATTGAGGAGTCCTCGTGCGCACAGGCAGAGGCACAGTAGGAATAAAAGGAATACACCGGCGAGTGTTCCGATCACTATACCCGCAATCGCACCGCCGCTCAAGCCGCCGCCGTCATCCGGAGCATCCACTCCGAGCGCTGGCGATCCATCAGTGGTGACTGGCGTCTCGAAAGCCTGAGTGGTTGTCGCGGTCTTGGTAACAGTGCTCGAGTCTGTCGGTCGTACGGGGGCTGTGGCGGTTCCAGTATCTGTCGCCCAGACTGAGGTGGTGGCCGCCAGAACGCACTTCTTGTGGGAGTTGCAAACTTGCGAGGCATCGCAACAGTCGCTACCGCACTCACTCTCACCAAGGTCACTTCGACAGCTCCCGCTACCGCCCGTCGGGCTCGCGACCCAACTGCTCCATACCGATGTGCGTGTCTCGACGTCTGTTTCGGTCACGACCCAGGTGCTGCTATACGTTTCCCATTTGCCGCTTCCACTGCTGGACTCGCTGCTCGAAGAGCAAACCGCCTGGTCTTTATCGTCTGTAGTGCATGTTTCGCCTGAGGCACAGCAAAGCTGGCTGTAGTAGCCACAGGGGTTGTCGCAAGATCGTTGTTCGAGCGAAACTCCTTCAGCGCTCGGCCCTAACGGCGTCGCATCGGCGAGTCGAGCCTGACCCAGTAATGCGAAGATCGATATCGCAGATTGTAGTAATCGCGAGGTATGCATGGCTAATATAGAAAAAGCCCGACGATTTCAAACGATCGGAATGGAAGTAGGTAGGAATGCTCTGACAGCTGCAATTGTTGGCTGCAGGGCCCGAGACACTCTGACTCCGTCGCTCCAGAAACCTGCCCTAGATTGTTGCGGCTGCGATCAACAGCGAGCAACAACTCCCTGAGACGACAGAGAGAATAAAGAATTATCTTGAAGATACGCGGAAAGTATGACGATAACTAAAAGAGGAGAAGAAAACGAAGGGATGGACTTGGGAGGGGTGTCGCACTGTCGGAGCTCAGGCTTGCTGTCGTGCCCTGGCCGAGTCTGCGGGCGAACCTCCCAGCCTCCTCATGCAAGTGGTATACAAAGCCCAACCACCGCAATTACAGGCCAACCACGGCCAAGCGACAGTTCCCCATTATTACTATGGCCAATTCTACACCGTAGATTTCCGGATTTATTTAGAAATTAGAGGCTGGACTGGACCCTGCTTCGTCACGTTCCAACCCTCACTTCGTCAAGCTGAATACATCGCATCTGCCCCTCCCTCAGTACAACGGCCAGCCCCGCATCACTACGAGAACAATAATACCGACTATTAATATTACCACTCTCAAGTCTCGCCTGGGCAGCTCGTACTCCGTACCTAATCTGGTCAATCAGGTCACAATTCTGACTCACGAGGTGTAGAATACCCGGGTTTTATCTCGGGTACTCCCCTACTGGCACCAACGCCTCGCGTTATCAGGTACTGGGCAGCTCGGGCTAATCAGGCGTCGGGCACTCCACTGCGCTGTTCACTTACTGGTTGCTGGCTATGGAGACTACAGAGACAGCATGGCAGTCATCCGTCGATCCCGCTTGTTCTGCAGGACTTGGGTTGAGGGTCAAGCGGTGTGTCTGAAGGTGGTCATGCGATTTTGTCTCAGTCCAAGGACTCGAGGCTTATGTAGAGGCTCAATTGCTGGTATGTAGATAGGTGTCTGACCTCGACATAGCAAAGTAGTAGGTACATAAACGTAGAACAGTACAAACATTACTCATTCAGTCATTCCATATATCATCCATAGACAGAAAAATCATATACAAATCCCTACCAAGGATCCGTCATCCAAGTCGTAACATGTCCATTGTCCATCAGTGTCTTCAAATGAAGAACCCAGCAACACCAACAACCATCCCCACAACAATATCCTGAAGGCTCGACGTCCTCCGATACCCCGCGCCATCCGTCCCGCCCTCATAATTCCCACAAACCCCCAGATTCAGCCCACGGCACGCACTCTGACTCAAGCTCGAGCACGTCTCAACCGCACTCGCCGCGCCCCCGGTCTGCGTAAAGTCCGCTCCCCCACCCGTAACGGTCACCCCATAGCCCCCGAAATACGTAACGCACGCCGTGTAGCTGCTTTGGCAGCGATCGTAGTACGACGAGCACTCATCCGCATCCGAAAATGAAGTAGGCACATAGACGAACGGGTACCCGCCGTTCATCGTCGAGCCCGTGATCGTCGAGGTCGGGTCATCGTCGGTTGTCGTCGTAGCGTCCGATGTCGTCTGCCACCCTCCAGACCCTGACGTCGAGCCTCCGCCCAGAGTCCCCGTACAACTTGCGCCGCTGGGACAGCACGCGATGTGGTTTGCGTCGTCGCTCGTGCAGATTGCGTCGGTGCGGCAGCAGATACCGGAGTTGTCGAGGTTATCGCATGGGCTGTAGCCGCCGGGGCAGTTGCCGTCGCGCTTGTTCAGGAGTTGCAGGATATCGTATGCCCGTCGGTTTGTTTCAGGGCTTGCTGTGATGGGGTGGTCGAAGGGGATGTGTGACGGGGAGGTTGAGAGGGCGCCTGCGCCGAAGAATGCGATTGCGATCCAACCGGATAGCTTCATTTCGTGCGGTAGGCTTCGTCGTCCCGCCGGTCGGGGAATTGGTGTATATGGGCGGTTTTGGTGTGAAGAAGAACAGGGTTTGCAGGGACCTCCAATCGGCCAAGAATCGGCGTTAGGTAGCGATGACGATGGAGTGAAGCCCTGGCTGTGAGGTGGTTGGGCCGGGGCAATCAACAAATTACTAAAAATGGCAAGGCCGTCGGTCCCGCTCTAGACTCGTGGACCCCAGCCTCCTGCTTTTCACGATACTCGCAACAATGCCGAACCACAACTATCCCGAGCAAGTGTCTCGGGATGAATACAATAAGCATATTAACATTGAGAGCTGTGCTAAAAAGCCATTGTCCAGTCGTGGTCTTTAGCATATCGTCGTCATATCCATGCCGGGCAGCATCCGCCTCCACGATCTTCCACACCCTGATCTACTGAGCGATCTCCACAATCAAAGGACCCTTCTCGAATATGGCAAGTGTCTTTCGTCTGTTGGATATTGCGCGACCCAAGTCAATCTTATCAGGATCGCTCAATGCCTAAATGTAAACGACCCATCGACATGCCAGCTCGGCTTCCGAGCGCCCGGCTCCATTGTTGAGATCTTCTCCCGTAGCCAATGGCTCACTACTACTAACGTGCTGAACTTATGATGCATGGCTCAGATCAAACGCAAAAGACCCGAGCGTCCCTGACCGAATGCCGATATCTGATCAGCCTTCTTTGTCAAACTCCTCCTACAATGAACGCGTATGCTCAACACTTAACGCCTTGTTTTCACCCGATAATGGAGACTTCTGTCTCAAAATGACGTGCGAAAGAAGAGTGGCTAGCCATTCTGAACAACGCAAGGCATGATACAGTTCTACTCTTTGCGGTACCGACTACTTTTTATGTCGAAACGCTTGCTCTGTTCGCAGAGGGTACTCACTGCCTCAACCTGGATTTCACTCTTCGGTCTTAAATGGCAATAGTACACGCCGGGCTGCCCTAGTCAAGCTCTCCCCTGCGCCAAGGGTATATAATTTCGGCATAGCTACTCTATACTAAGCTTCGCCGGAAACGTCGTCAGCCGTTGCTAAATTACCCTTGGTCCCTAGGCTTTTGACATATCACCTCGTCAAAGAAGGATCAAGCAACCAGAAACATCTAGGGTTGAAGTTTCTACTCTGGCCCGTTATGCATCTTCTATTGGTGGCCTTGAATGTACCTGAGTTACAGCTTGAGGTGTCTTGATTCAAAGGCAACATTTACTTTAACACTTGAGTTCTTTGGCTTAAGCGAGGCGGATATGGATGCGACTGGTGCTAAAATCTCACTGAAGTTGGTGATTCATATGATACAATACAGGACTGTTGAGACTTGAAAGACATGGCTCTCCATAGTCTAAGATCTCCTGACTGAGGATATCAGGAACCCCGCGGGTGGCTGTCTTTTCCGTATAAGCTCACGGCTGGATTTTCCGCAGGCGGCAACCCCCATATATTGAGGTCACCAAGATTAAACATCAGTACAAGTGAAACTGACCTTGTCTAATACCAATCGAGGCGCTTTCTCGATTACGAATCTGACCGTGTAGCAAGGAGACCAGATCATTCCTTACTAAGGATGACTTTGCAGAGCATGTGACCGTCAGCCGATTAGACAAGCATCCCGGTCGTTCAGATTAATTTCCCCAGCTGTCGTCAATCTGTTAGAAAAGAACCGGGCCTACTTTTACAATCATGGCGCTACCCGTCGTAGATTTTTCGTCATGGTATAACCTCGATGATGAAGCCTCGCGAAAAGGCGTGGCGCAAGAGCTGGTAAACGCCTGTCAGCGAGTGGGCTTTGTTCGAATCATCAACCACTCTTTGCCAGAAGACAGCCTCGATGGGGCATTCGAGTGGATGAGGCAATTCTTTGCGCTCCCAGAAGAGGAGAAGATGAAGGCCCCTCACCCAGAAGGTTGGGCAGTCCACCGCGGATACTCGTGGCCTGGGCTAGAGAAGGTTTCGCAGATTATGAGCACCGGTGACGACAAGGAGGTGAGGAGTAAATTGAGAGAGGTGCCTGATGTCAAGGTGCGTTGCTTTTCGGGGGAGCCATGTAGCTGAACATTGCTGACTCCGTAAAAGGAAGTCTACGATATCGGCAGCGAGAACAACACCCATGAACCAAATCAATGGCTTCCCGACGCCACGCTTCCTGGCTTTAGGGAATTCATGATACAGTTCTATAGCGACTGTGACCGTGTCGGCAACGATATCCTCCGGGCCCTGGCCGTGGGCCTGGATCTCGAGGACGCAGAATATTTAACGATGAAACACTCGGGAAACTCCCATCAGCTCCGACTTCTACACTACTTACCAGTCCCGGCGGAAGATCTAGAGCAGGACCGCGTGAGTCGCTGCGCAGCGCATACCGACTGGAGCTCAATAACCTTGCTCTTCCAAGACGACTGTGGCGGGCTCGAGGTGGAGGATGTCTCACGGCCGGGGTCGTTTGTGCCTGCGCGGCCTGTGAAGAATAGTATTATCATGAACGTAGGGGATCTATTGCAGAGGTGGAGTAACGGTTCGTTCTGGAAACCCTATCTGTTTTCCTTTCGTTGGGCAAATGATACGGGCAGTACCGTCAGTACGTACTTTATAGGGCTAATCTATGCATGGCAGATCATCTTTGCTCCACGAACCACCGGGTAGGCTTGCCCGAACTGTCTGATCGAATTGAGGGTCCGAACCGGATGACTCGTGAACGATACTCCATTCCCTTCTTCATGTCTCCGGATGACGATATTGTCGTGGAGTGTATACCGTCTTGCATTAGTGACAGAGAGCCGGCGAAATATGAGCCTATCACGCGCGGAGATTATAACAAAATGAGGATGGCTATGATGTATTGAACCTACTCCTGTTGGTTTCATGGCTTGCAAATATATATCTGGCGATCGAGCATCACATCTCTTTCAAACACCACAAACGAAATATATCAAAAAAATGACAAGAACTACAACAAACGTTATATTCATTGCTATTATTTTTTCCCTAGTGACTATTTCTATTAAATGAGTTGAAGCATATCTCCCTACCAGCCAGCCCTAAGCCCTCGTTCAAGATGCCATTTGATGCCTTAAGGCAGAAACAGCTCGGAGCCAAGCCGATAAGAGCGGCGGCATCGTTCGTTTGTCTCCAGCTCCGCCCGACTCGCCGCATCAGAACAACAAATTATTGCAGTCGCGAACTATAACTAATCCGAGTCCTGAACTCAGTATTAACCGTCTACACATCTCTTGGTCCGCTGGGATATACCTCTTTCCATTTCAAAATACGGAAACGCCCGTGAAACACCACAATCCGGCCCTAACCACATCGCAACCCCTCCTTCCGCCCGCCGCATCACATCCCAAAATGTCTATTCCAAATGAAGCTCTCCAAAAGGTGCGTTCGCGATCAAGCTTCTTGTCTTACCCAGTTATAGCTGCGGCTGCTAACGATTTATTCTTCAACAGCTCCTCCAAGAGATCGAATCCCGCGTGATTACCTCACAGCAACAGATCGGGATTACGAAGGCGCAGATGACGAGCAAGAACCGTGATATCCGGATGCTGGAGCTTACGTCAAAGGAACTGGGCACTTTGCCTGCCGAGACGAAGGTCTATGAGGGTGTTGGGAAGATGTGAGTTTGTCCGCCGCGTGGACCACCAACATTGGGACTGGGACTGGGACTTGGGAGGTATCGGGAGGATAAGGCGGAATGGAGCTAATGCCACTTCGTAGGTTCGTTGCGGTCCCCAGAACATCAGTTGACAAGCGGATATCGACAGAGAGCGGGGAGCTGAAGGGGGAGATTGAGAGTTTGGAGAAGAGGATGAACTATCTAGAGATGACGTTCAAGAACAGTCGGGAGAACCTGGAGGCGATTTTGAAATCTGGACGGGCGTGATTATTTCTTTCTCCTTTTTATTGATTCCTTTTTCTTTTTGTCTTTATCTTCTTCTTCCTATAAATGGATGGATGGCTCAAAACATGGCGCTTTATGAACATCGTTATTCCAAAACCGGGCTATTGTGGTCGCCAATCTTGACACTGAGATGCTGAACCGTCTAACATGGTATGCACTAGGTACCTCGTCCTTCCGAGTCGCTTGACCCCGGTACAAAATCCAGCAACAGTCTGACAAACACTCAAAGCTTGCGCGCGACATCCTTCAGCAAGTCCCAACCAATAAGCACAACGTCCCTTTCCCCCTGCTGTGAAACAGGAGGCCTACTCATAAGCGCTTGGAAATGCATATGCAGCGGGCCTCCCTCAAGCCCCTCATCACTCAGCACCATCCGCTGCGAACAATAAGGCTGCTGAAGCGCCACAGGCACCTTACCCAACGGCGGTAGCTCCTGGGCTTTCATGGAGCACTCCGTCTTCCTGGCGGGCACATTCAATTGAGGCATCGCAAGTTGCCATTTTTCAATCGTCAGCGTGTGCGCTTCTGCATTATATGTGTGGATCAGCACGATGCGAGTGGTGCCTTTAGAGGCTGCGAACCAGGAGCGCGCGTCGCGCACGAAATCCTGGTTCGAGCCGTCCGAGCCTGGGGGTCCCGAGGGTGAGCTCGCGCCACTAGAGCCAGTAATGATGACGATAGTCGGAAAGGGCGTGAAATCGCGGTATCCATAGTACGGTCTACGGGCTGGTGGGCAGAAGCAGTCGTTTGGCTGTTTGTTTGCCGGGCCTGCCTGTTGTTCTACCCTTGCCTCGTTTGCTGCTGTGACTTTTGCTGGCAAGAAAGTTGCGAGAACTCTATGGCCTGTCACAGGAGGTGTGGGACGGGGTGCTGTCTCTGTGTACCAGTCGCTCGTGTTGAACGAGGTTCCAGGACCTAGTGACTGGACTATGGCCTCGCTGAGGGCGCGCAGCATGTCGACCCTGAGGTTGAAAAGGCCCTTGAAGTTGGGCGGGGATTGCAGCTGGAGTTGGTTGATACCAACTGCCCGGTGATGTTCTGGACGTTGGCTTTCCGAGCCCCCTATGAACGAGACAGGCGTGGTAGGCGTGGGAATGCGCATGTCATGACCCATGTCAGCACGGGGAAACGCAGGATAATTGCTCGAGAGGTTAAACTGCGACAGCGGCTGTAGGTTGAGCTGGCTTGCTCCCATTGCCTGGCGCTCGGCCGGGGGATGATTTGCTTTGTCCTTAATGGTCCAGCTGGGGGTAGGAGGCGTGGGCGGCGTGAGAAGACCTCTATTGTGAGCAAGGCCTTGACGAGGGAAAACCGAATCACTGTGAGTGTAGCCTGTCTGGGACCGTCCACGGGCCTGGAACTGGTTGGCACCGAATGCTTGCAGCTGGTATGGACGCAGGCTCTCAAAATCCCAGGTGGTTGAGGCAGGCGTGGGAGGGTTCAAGTGACCATGAGCAGGGTCTCGACGGAGGAAAACCGAATGATTGTTGGGGAAGCTTGCTTGTGGCTGTAACTCGGGATGGCGCTGGCGCTGGCCCTGGTTGCTACCAGAAGAGCGCAACTCGTTCGGACGCAGGTTCTCGGAGCCTCTGGTGGTCGATGAGGTAGACATGGGAGGGACCATGTCATGACCGAAATCTGCACGGGGGAAGCGTGGATACATGGTACTGATTTCACTTGGACTTTAAGGAATGAAGCTTTGCAGTGCCGTGCGTTGTAATGGTACGGTGATCGGTGAGGATGGACGGACCCAATGACTACCTATGAACGAATATTTCAATGCTGGACTCGACCGACACCTCGAAGGAAGAAAGCATACCCTGAGACGGCACTTTTGACAGCGAAAAAAGAACGGACAGCCCGGAGAACAGGCAAGTAAAGAGATGGGGTGAAGTTGATGCTGGACTCGACACCAAGGTGAACAGGAAACATACAATTAAAACGGTTTCAACAAGGAAAGAGCGGATAGGTAGAAGGAAACAGGCAAGTGAGAGGGATGGTAAGTGCTAAAGAGCATCCTGGGGGTAAATTCGTGGGGTATTTATGGTGGTTCGAAGCCCCAGTCAATGAAGTGAATGAAGTGAACATCGGGTTCTGAGGTTTTTCACATTCACTACAACTCGCAACCACCAAACTGCAAATGAACCCACTACCCAACCACAAAATCCGCCCGGGACATCAGAATAAAGAGCGCCGGACATGGAGACTCTGTTCCCATCATTCTCTGCTTCCTGTCCCTGGTCTTTGTTCGGACGAGAGCCACGAGATTCTCGTGGTCGATGGGGCTGACACCCGTCTATACCTGCGATATGCGAGAGGATTGCTTCACAAAGCTCCAATCGAGTGTCATTTTGCTTGGTATGAAGCTACATGTTCTTTTTACCAGCCAGATAGCTGGCATGTATCATGGTCGGTCAATCCGTAATCTACCTACCATGCAAGACCTTGGAGTGTACGCAGGACTCCCTAATGTTCAGGGTTATTACTCTCCCCGTGAACCTATAGATCATGTTCAATATACTACCTATCAGATTTTGACAACAGGGGTCTCTCAGTGTACTCAAGAAGAGTCTACCTAATTACTTCGTACCGTACACACGGTCTTATGTACAGGCCAGAGGGGATACGACGAGGCACCGCGCTACGGCAGGAGGGGAATATCGCTAAGGGACTGGCTTGAGTATTACATCACTCCGTAGCGAGATAGAAACGCCAGCGCACCAGTCCAAGCTACTATCGCAAGTCTTAGTGATCGTTGAAGCTCCAGCTGGTGATCTTTGCACACGATACGTGTGCACGGCACTGCACGCCAGAGGGACTGCGGGAGGGGGGTATCTGGAGTTGCATTCCATTCCATTGCGAGTGGTCCAGATACCAGCGATTTACGGTATACGTGCTAGGATATCAATCTATACTGCTAAGTCCAGCGACCCGCCGGAGCGTGGGCTAGACCTATGAGCTTATGCTTGGGGTTGTCGAGGCCAGAGCTAAAGCCCAAACGGCATCTAGACGCTGAGTCGTTGGATGCAGACCAACCGTCCGGAAGACTTCCTTCGCAGACTCGGGTCGCACAACAGATGGCCAGCAAATCAGTCCTTTTCCAAAGCTCCGAGGCCTGACTATTGCGATTCAGCTGCAGTCCGACCTGCGCGGGAGCATGTAAGTACACACGAATGGGACGGAATCAGGGCACGCGCATAACGTGATCGGAGGGATGATTGTGATGATAAGAGGCAAGAGGTGATCAGGCGCCTGGTTGCCGTTTCCGATGGACTTGGAGACTAGGTCGGCCTTGGGTTAGCTCACCTGAGCCTGAGGTATGTGATGTTCGTTTTGCATGACGCTAATTAGGCATATAAGGTGGTATGGCGATAAAGATGGTTAATTAATATGCTGGTGAGGGGCAGTCGATGCGCTGCAGGCTGCAGGACCGGACTGGCGATGAGGGCCGCGGGCTGCGATTCTGCAGGAGAAACTGCCACTTTGCAGTATGGGCTGATACATCATACCGGCGTCCGGCGCCTCTGCGTCTGAAACGAAATGTCGCATCCATATTGGCATTGTCGCGAATGCCGATATCAATTAAGCCGAGCGAGCGGGGTACGGGCTCGTTGAGTTTGAGCTGTTCGCACTATCGGACTCTGTGCTCCGTCAGCTGCACAGACAGCCGGTTATCTACATGATCTTCGTGTACACCGTGCTTTGAGCACGCAATGTATCTAGCTCTAGCCTCTGTGCGTCGCGAGTCGCGCATGTGGCTTGGATTGGACCTCAGTTCGATCCTCGAGTGTTTCAGCTTCCAAGTAGATAAGTGGAGCGAGCGTTAGCATCCAGCTCCAAGCGGATAGGGGACCGAAGAACGTGCATGATAATTGATTCGGCGAGAACACGGCGCTTGAGCGCCAGCGGCTTGACGAAAATTTCCGACAGCCAAAGAGAAAGCAGGACTAAAGTCGGCAAGAGTTGGACACGGCTCAAAAGGATCATCAGATCGACGGGGCCTTGATTGGTTGGCGTCCATCACCATCAAAAGAGCCAGAAACGACGGGGACGGGAGACGGTCGTCGGTGGGATGCTGAATAGGGGGTGGATCCGAAACATCTCACCATTTGGAATGGCAGGTTTCGACTTCTATCGGATTGTCTTCCAAGGTCTCGCGTGGCGAGTCAGGTACGAGGCAAACGACGTCGTTCGTAGAGAGTCTGCAAGTGCGCTTTACTAGTGATTAGTCCGATTAGTATGGCGCGGCTACTCCGAGACCGGGAGCTCCGTCATGGTGTACAGATTGAGAGTTCTTTGTAGGGCTGGTCGGTGGGGCGGGCGCCATCGTGGCCATCGAGATGTTATCACTTATCAGGCTTGGAGGCTAGCAGGCTAGCACGTAATCTGATACCAGGTGAGGACCATGAAGTATGCCTGGGAATTATGACATGGGCGTTGGATTTCGGTCGTGGAGGGGCTCGTTGGGCGCTGGTTGGTGAATTTGGTGGTGGCTGCAGTCATGGGATGTTTCGTCGTCGAGTCGCGTGGCCGAGGACTGGCTGGGCTTAGGTAAGCGACCACGGGTCAAGCTAACTGCCTATTGTGGTTGGTCGCGGCCAGAACCATGGACGACCACAAGTCGCCAGAGTTAGTTTGCGCTCTTCGCTCAACGGCTCCTGCACCGCCAGGGAGAAGAGGCATGGGCGCCTGGATGGAAGGATGCGCTGGTCCTGGAGGGATATGAGTATCTCGGTGTGGCAGGGATGAAGAAGGAGCTCAGGCATGGATGAACGAGCTGGTGGTGAAGCTCAGGGCAGTCTCAGGCACTTTTCTTTGATGGATCCAAGGGACCCACTGAGCACCTGACTTTTCCAAGGTTCTCAACAATAACAACATCCATCAGGGATCACTCTCATCTCGAGTAAATTAGCCATATATAGGGCATCTATCGCTGTGGACATGGCCATCAGATATATTAATGGTTGAATATGACTTCAGGCTTGTAGACAGCGGGAGAGACAGCCGTCCGTCTTGCATATCGGCAAGCTCTCCATGCCACTATAGGTACCAGTAGCTCTGTCCTGAGTCCTGACACTGCAGGTCGTACTAACAGATTTTTCGCCAAAGCCCCTCGTCAAAGGGCCAGAGTTGCCCTGCTCCTGTGCTCTGAGTCGCACTAGCCATAGCTAATTCCAGTCGAGGCCCCTTTTCTGCTACTAGCAACGCGATCAGAAAATTAAAAGGACCAAATTAACTTGGTGAAGAGGCCGCCCTGCAGCTCCTTTCCTGATCGGGCGACCTGCCCACTGCCTCCTTACCCTCCTTTCCCTCCTTTCCAGCCCCTGCTCAAATAAGTTCTTTTTTCTTCGCTCCTCCCGCCTCTTCTTCCTTCTCTTTCTCTTCTCTCTTCCTTCTCTGCCACAGATACCTGCCCTTCTACCACCACCTTTGCCTTCGTTGTGATACCCGAGCTCTTCTAGCCCTGTGCTGAGGTTGCTCTTGTTTCTTTCTGTTGAGATACCCCCTTAAGATACCCAGCTCGACGTCACTTCTTTTACCGAAGCTTCTTCGCTTCTCTACGACTATCTAATCCCATCCATACCTTTTATAATTACTTTTTAATCTACCATCGACACCATGTCTGACGCCCAGAAGCCCGTTGAGGAGACCCCCGTGGTTGCTCCCGTTGCTCCTGTCACCGAGACCCCTGTTGTCCCCGCTGAGGCTGCTACCGCCACCGAGACCCCCGCCGTCGAAGCGCCCAAGGAGACCGCCGCTGAGGCTTCCGAGCCTGCTGCTGAGGCTGCCCCCGCTGCCGCCGAGGAGTCCAAGGCTGAGGCCCCTGCGGAGGAGGCTAAGGAGGTTATCCCCGCCTCTGAGGGAATCCTCGGCTACAAGGCCCCTGGTCTGGTCAAGTAAGTTTCCGATTTTGTGGGCGGCGCATGCAATGATAGCTAATATCTGCAACTTCCAGGAGCCTCCGCTTTGCCAAGCGTTTCTTTTACTTCAGCGACGAGGCTGTTGAGGCCAAGCAGCTCTCCGTCTTCCGCAGCAACGAGAAGCCCGCTGTCGCCAACCCCATTGTCGCCTGGGCCAGCCAGACCGGCAAGGGTCTGCTCTTCTTCACGAAGCGCGCCGAGGACAAGGCTACCCCCGCTGGCATCATCAGCTTGGTGAGTGGCGCAGTAGGAACTCGGGTCGAAGCAAGCACTGATATGTTTACAGGCCGACATCTCCGATGTGACCAAGGAGGGTTCCGACGAGTTCCTCTTCAAGCTCAACGGTCACAAGCACACTTTCCAGGCCTCCAACACTGCTGAGCGTGACAGCTGGATTGCTGCCCTTGAGGCCAAGTCCACCGAGGCCAAGGCCGAGAAGGACACCATCACCTCTAGCGAGGGCTACAAGGCTGAGCTCGAGAAGCTGAGCAAGCCCGCCGCTGCCCCCGTCAAGGCCGCCGAGACTAAGGAAGAGGACAAGAAGGAGGAGGAGACTCCTGCTGTTGCTGCCGCCGAGGAGAACAAGGACAAGAGCCGTTCCCGTTCCCGCAAGAGGACCTCCATCTTCGGTACTCTCCTAGGTAAGAAGGAGGAGCTTGAGGAGAAGAAGGAGGAGAAGAAGGAAGAGAAGGAGGAGGCCAAGGCTGAGGAGGCTAAGCCCGCTGAAGCCACCGAGGCCCCCGCTGCTGAGGCTCCCGTTGTCGCTGAGCCTGCTGCTGCTGAGGGTACGAAACATTTGAAAACATCGGACACTGGCCATATTACTGACATCAACACAGCTTCTGCCGCTCCTGCCGCTGTCGAGGCCGCCGACAAGAAGGAAGAGGACAAGAAGGAGGAGACCGAGGCCGCTCCCGCCCCTAAGTCTAAGCGCTCTTCTCTCTTCGGCAACTTCTTCCAGAAGGTCACCAGCCCCTCTCAGGAGAAGAGTGAGAAGGAAGCCGCTGCCCCCGCCGAACCCGCTCCTGTCGCTACCACCGCTCCTCAGCTCGACAACCCTGTCGAGGAGGCTGCTAAGCCCATTGAGCCTGAGAGCGTGACCGCCGCTCCCGAGGTTGAGGCCGCCAAGGAGACTCCTGCCGAGTCTCCCGTTGAGTCCCCCGCTGCTGCCACCAAGGACAAGCGCCGCACATCTTTCTTCGGCAGCTTCGGTAAGAAGAAGGCCGACTCTGGTGACGAGGCCGCTGAGGGTGAGGCCAAGCCCAAGAACAAGCTCGGTGGCCTTTTCCGCAAGCCCAGCAAGGCCGTGAAGCCCGAGACCAAGGAGACCACCGAAGCTGAGGCTGCTGAGCCCAAGACCGAGACCGTTGCTGAGGCGGGCCCCGCTGAGGAGACCCCCAAGCCCGCCGAGGCCCCCGCCACTGAGGAGGCCAAGCCTGTCGTTCCTTCCACCGCCGCCCCTGTTCAGGCTGCTGCTTGAACTTCACAAAGGCCGGTCGAGTTAGAGAAGTGGTGGGACAAACAGTATCAGTTCTCCTGCGCTTCCGCGTCATGATCAAAAGACGGAAAAGCAATAAGAAACCGAAAAACCAATAAAAATTCTCAGTATATTCCAGTCGATACTCGAATCTTGTCCAGCTTAATATCGCCACTGTCGCGCCGCTTGCACCCATTGCTTGTGAGCATTGGTCCATGCACCGGTGTGTCAATGATACCCTCTGCTACTTTGACGGTCGATTTCGTGGCTGCTTTTGATGTTTATGATATCGGGAGTCACAGTCCATTCCTTTATGATATCCGATCTCTCAGGGGATACCCCTTTAGCCTGGGAGATCATGCGCCGTCTCTCTAGATTGATACCACTTGCTGTTTTGTTGTTTGCTTTGTGACTTGATTGCCGTGGCCGTTTGATGCACTGTCGTGATTTGGGGCTGCGAGGGTGATTTACGTGTTGAATCTGGCTTAGTTTGGATGCTCACTCTACTCTTTGACCCTACCATGGGCCGCCGCCGGCGGTTCGTCGATTGGCAACATAGGTAATAGCTAATAGAACCAATGCATTTTTGATATATATTTTTCGTGCCTGGGCTTATGACTATACATCGGCTTGTCTTCCATCGTAAGAAAACACTGCATTATTTCTCTTATTGAACCCCGAGTCAGGCATAGAAGTAGTCTGAGCTCTTTGCTAACGACATTGTCGTCGTCTACTGAATGATCTTATTTTGTGGGACTATTTTGAGTACATAGCTCGGCTAGACTGGTTGTATCTATCTAGGACACGCAACCATGGAGTTTCCAAGTCTAGTAACTGTCCTACTACTTCTTCGTTTCTCTGTTTGTAACAGCATGCAAAATCTCCACCACCTTCCCTGTCGTCGTAGCATGCGGACAATGCCCAGTTTCCAACTCAAACACCTCAACCTCCACCCCTTCAGCCCGTAAGCGCGCTACCATGGCATTCTGATATGCAACTGGCATCAGCCTATCCTGCAAGGTAAGAAGATACGACACTGGTATGTCCCTCCAGGCAGCCGCCTGAATTTCCTGATACAGCCCCTTCCCATTCCATGGCCTCAACCGCGCAATATAAGACTCCACCATCTCCTCCGAGAGATCTCCAGGCGGTCCAATCATGCGCTCCCTTACCTCGCGGTACTCGACCATCCCATCATCAGCAACAATAAATGCATCGAGGAGCGCCTTCTCGCGGCCCGCGGCCTTGGCAATGCCGAACATGGACATGCCCTCGCTCAGGGCATGCGCGCACATGTATACCAGCCGGATAACACCGCCGGGCAGGTTTGAAGCCCCGCGTGTGCGCGTGTCGAGTCCAGCCAGTGCGTTGGTGCCGACTTGGCCGCCGTAGGAGTGCATTAGGATAACGAGGCGGTGGCCTGCGTCCGCGAGCGATTCGATATAGCGGCGGATTTGGGCGGTGTCGGTGTGGAGGTCTGAGGTTGGGGGGCGGGTGCCGTTCATTGAGGGGAGCGAGGGGATTAGGACGTTGTGGCTGAGGCTTCGGAGGCCGTTGCTGAGGCTGCTGTAGTGCGTGGGGTTGTGCCATGCCCCGTGGATGATGACGATTGTGGGGTTGGGGTTGGGGGTGAGAGGGGGAGGAGGGAGGTTGGCGCTGGCACTGGCACTGGCGCTGGCCATGTCGAAGATGGGGACAATGGTACGGAGTAGTAGGAGTCGGAGTAGATGGAGAATGCAGAGGCAGTAGGGTATACTGGAGGGGAGCTGGTGTTGCGGTTGGGCATAGCAGCGAAGCAGAAAGAGGCGAAGCCTCCCGTCTATTTAAGCTTATGAAAAAGGACTGGGAGGTGACTAGACGTAGGTAAGCACGCAGTGAGGTCTGTCGTTACAGTGCCAGAGGCTAATGCAGTGATTCCTTTGTCTCCGTCACCCCTCCAAGCCCACGCTAGAGCTGGAGGATCACCTCGCGTTCCACTCAACGTCCACCTCCGTCTGGACGCACGCGAGAGGAGTTGTTCGGGGTGACTACACCGTTCGGACCTTGTGATCTCGCATTTGAGAAGGACTTCGCCCCGTCCAGGCGGCGGATACACTCTTGACTCTCCCGAGATGCTTGACGAGGTTAGGAAGAGTGGGCAGACAGGCACAGATTATGCTCATGTATGTCTCCACCGCCGTCCAAATGCCAGCGATGTAAAGCGTATCTGCCCAAGGACTCAGGCATTGGTCTGGTGCAGGTGAGTCTCCCTCCCCGCCTCCTCTTCCAATCGCCGCGTACTGGACTTACAGGCAAAAGAATCTTGTATCTGCCAGATCCCCCGATCGGTATCTAATGGAGGCAGGGCCTCTCAAACCCGCCCAGAGCAAAAACACCCGAGAGCGAGAGTTTGCGGCGGCGGCTTATCTGCAGGCCCCAGACCAATGGCTGGGGCATGAGAAGAACAGTAATGTCATAGGCTATGTTAATGATGCCCATGGTCATCCAGCACGCCTGGTTCTTGATCAGATATGCGACGGACGAGCTGGAGACACAGCTTATGTTGTCCACGGAGTCGCAGCCGACGAGCGGGGTGTGGTTTCAGTTCAGACTCTTCGTTATTGATGGTGAGCAGTACGTGGAGTGTTGTCGAGGCTTTGTCCGGGTTAACTCTGGAAGCTACGTGGGGCGGAGCTTGATCATTGCCAGTGGCGAGGACACGCAGGCTTGGATGTCGCGTGTTTCGAGCAGCTGCAGACGATCAAAACCCCCTTATGGCACATGGAATCAAACTGTACGGTCCTGGCCCCCGTTTCTAGGATCTGAAGCGGCTGCGGGTTGGCAGTAATGGCGAGGCAGCGGCCGACGGACAAATGGAAATCCAAGCCGGAAAAGGATGCTTCAGCTGTAAAGTATGTCATTCATCTTTCCACCATGGATGGACTCGCACAACTCATTGCTCCTGCGATGACCGAGGCCTACGGCAGGCTACAATTGCTTCTTCCCACGGGCGTCGTGAGTATATATCTTGACTGCCGGGAGCTCTTACACCTCGACCGTTGTTGCAGCCACGAGAGATTCAGACAAGCCTGTCATCGTCATTCAGAGACTCTTTGCGGCGCCGTGCTTTGACACAGAGTTGCATAGGCTCGAGAAGGATCTGAAAAGGCCATTCTTGAGCGCGTGAACTTGCCATGGAGAAGGTGTGTGGGCAATATGGAGTAGGGCTGTGGATGTCTTCCAGTGGTGGTTCCCCTTAACAACGGGCATACTCGACGGGCTGCGCTTTGAATATGTATTTCGAATGTCCGTTTCATCGGGACTTGCAGGCTGTTGTCCAGGGTTCACTACTTGCTGGATCGGAAGCCGTGAGGGCTGGGGATAGGCTATTCAAACGACTTGGCGCCTTGTTAATCAGGCCACCAGTTCCTGACTGCACGGACCACCGCTAACGGCCCACAGATCAGACCAATGTCATCAGAACAATCATGTCGTCAATGCCGCGCAATCCAAGTGATAGTTGAACTTTGGATGGACTGGAGAAGAAAAATTTCACCTACACTTTCATGTAAAGAAAGATTGCGGACTTGAATCCCGTCCAAATCGCTTGAATTCAAAAAGCGTCGGCGTTCGGGATCCGTGGATAGGCTTGCTTTGTCGAGTCTCCGGAAATCATCCCTGATCCTCAGACTCGAGCAATTTGGTTGGCTTATTGAACCGTTATTGATTACAAGTCAACAATGGACTACATCAACGCGACTCTGGTTCCTGTGGAGGTAATGTGGTAAGCGACATCCGGACTCAAGCCTCAATCAATTACCGTATCGCAGCAGTGCAGTAGGCTAATGGCGAATCGACCCGGCTACCGTGTCAAAATATTCAGGAGCCTGCACTAATCAATCTGGAGGAACTAGCGCGCATTAGCGACACCAATCTCCAAGTCAGATGAACTCCTTTGTCGACGGAAAAATCCGGTTGTTTGAGTTCTGGAATGTCAAGGGCACGCCCTTCGGCGGCGCCAACCAGGATAGTTGACACGGCGGGGAGTCGATTGGGAAGGTGATCTCCACTGCGCGGCAGACCAAGGCTTTATCGCTCACGTAGGTTGTGCGGTCTTTTCTTGCGGAAAGTCACCATGAAAGGCTGAATTATGGAGCGCGCTGCTTTCGACTGCGGTTTCCATGGCCTGGAGTGTCGCGGACTCGAACTGGACTGGACTTGGACTTGGAGAGTCGGAGACAGGATTGGGGCTGAGCCTCCTGTCTCACCGGCCGCCGCTGCAACCCATCTGCATAGGAATTTCCCAATCCATTCCCCGAGGGAGCCTGGGGCTGTGAAGGACTGAACGTAGATTGAGATGCACGTCTGGTTGGTCAATTGATACCACGACGTCAGGAAGATGGGCGAGTACGAGCCTGCCCGCCTGGGGCTCTGTCCAGGCAGCGAGAGTTTGTCCCTTGTGAAGATCCACTTGAGACGCGTAACCACCAATGGGAACGGCGACTGGCCCTGTGACTCACACCTGCTGACCGTCAAATTGGCGCTAGGCCTCATACGGCTGGCGGCCCAGGCGGAGAGGCGAGGGCCGCTGATTGGTGGAGAGGGCGGGCGAGTGCGCACACAAACTCGGAGTTAAAAGGTGCCTTATCCCCCGTCGCTGCCTGGCCTTCTTCTCTCTTTTTCCTCCTTCTTTCTTGCATCTCTCCGGAACCCTCCTCCGTCTTTATCTATCACACATTATTATCCTCTCAAACCTGCCTGGCGCTCTTTTTAGACAGCCGTAATCATATCTTCTCTGTATTCTCCACGCTTTCAACCTCGACGTCCAGCTCAAGATGGACTGTTAAGCGCACCCCCCGCCGCGTCGTCTTTCTCAAGCGAGACAGACATCATAGATCCTCAACGGACTACGTTTTCAACTCCCCTCTCCAACATTCAAACAACTTCAGAGTCTCCTTCCCAGGAACCTCTGAACTTCAGCATCGCTTCGCGTAGCTCAAGTTCTCTCCCGAACCCTTTCACCACGTTCGACTCTCAGTCGTTCATCACGGATAACCATCAGCAACCATGGCTTCCTTCACCCTCGCCCACGCAGCCTCTGGCTCAGAATCTGAACTCCGATCCCAACAGCAACAAGAACAACAGCAGCAATTCTCCGCAGGAGGACTTTGTGCTCTTTCCCGCTCCGTGTCCGCAACCTCTTCAAGATCAGCAGACGGACTTGATTGCTCCGGCATACCTTTCCCCTAGACAGTTTGCGGCCTACCAACGCTTGATCGTCCAGTCGGGTCACAATCCGCGACGAAACTTGCAAACAAACTTTGGTCAAAGCCAGCGCAGTCACTCCGTGAACTTGCCTCAGCAGCTCGCCGGCTCCCGAGTTTCCTCAAAACTCCAGGTTCCTCGAGTAGCCCGACTGAATACGCAGTCTACCGGGTATCCTCTGTCTACATCTCTTCGGTCTAGTCCTTCGAATCAATCGCACGCTCTGCGTCGATTCGCTGCTTCGAATTCTGCTCCCGCGGCTTCGAATTCTAATTCTCATCACTTTCGTCCACCTGTTCCGCTTTTCAATAGCAGCACCACCAACTCCCCAAACCAGAATCAGTACGCGCCAGCAATCCATCGCCGACGCATCATGTCTACCCCGAGCATCATGTATCAAGGTGGGTTTAATTGTACAGACACTGAGCGTCTCGTCCTGCGTACTGATCTGAATGCTCTAGAACTTTTCGACCTCGCTGAGTCGTTTGGCGACGATTTCAAACCCGATCTCGACATGTTCTCCTCGCCTAACCTCATCCCAACTGGCATGATGGCATCCAAAGATTCTCTGGCGCACCTGCCTACGAACACAGTATCGCCGAGCGAACTGTTCTTGGATGCATCAGCTCCCCCGTCAGCTTCAATGACGGAGCTCAGTACGCCATCTTTCGATTCGCCTGGCTGCTTCAGCAACGACACGTCTCCAATGTTCGCCGCGGACGCGGAACTGGCTCCCGACAGCGAAGATTGGAATTCTCTATTCCCTGAAAATGACTCATTCCCCGTTCCCTTCGCTTCGGCTGCCTCGGAGCTGCCATCCTTTTTCCCGGAAGTCAAGGCCGATGCCTCTGTCACTCCCGCTGTGAAGTCTGTTTCTCCGCCCGTCCCTTCTACCGCCGCTTCGAGCCCCGCAAACAAGCACTCGACCGTTGCCGGGGTCAATGCAAGTGGCAAAAAAGCCAAGCCACTTCCGGCGATCGTATACGACCCCGAAGACCCGATTGCCGCCAAGCGTGCACGAAACACGGCAGCAGCTCGTAAGTCACGGCAGCGCAAGGCCGACATTAAGGCGCAGTTGGAGCACAAAAACGCTCTGCTCGAACAGGAGCTGGAGGAAACCCGCCAGAGCCTTGAGTACTACAAAGCCCGCTTGGCTGAGGCCCTAGGCACCGCCAACGTCAATTAAAAGTTCCGTTCCTCCTTGCCACGACAAATCGTTTGATTCATGACTGATTCCCTATATCCCGGTGCTGTTCTTGTTTCGTGGGCGGGGGCGGAGAAGCCTTCCGTCTCAACCCGCCGAAGTACCAGCCAGTCTCCAACATGTTGGTTACCTGGCGAAGACGCTTCGACATCAAAAAAAGTTTCTATTCTCTTTCTTCTCTTGTCAAGCGTATCCATGTCTACGCCGCGTTTTTCTCTATTCAATCTCCATGGTTTTCTTGTTTTATTATACTTCTTTTTGCTCGAGCGTGCATTGAGGCCGGTTCTGACTGTCTCCAATGGATCGACTCGTGGCCTTATATGTGCTCGAGTATCTTCTATTCTTAATTAATTATTGGACCAGAATGTCTCAGTCCTTTTTATATTCTCTTTGGGTCTGTCATTTTCTCCATGTGACGAGAATGTTACCAATTCCACTTTCGCTCTCCAATCATTTCCACCGTCCATTTCGTAGATTCACTGCGTCCTCGTAAATTATTCATAGATCCTCCATAGACATTCTAGCACCTCATCGTACTCTTGAACCAAGATCAGCTCTAGATCTTGCCCTCACGATGCTGCAACAGAGTACCGCCATTGACCCCCGGAGAGCAAGGACCCCGCCGGAACAGAGTTCCGTCTTGGGATGATGATGATGGAAAAAATCACTTACTAGGCTATTATTATTGTTGTATACTCCGCTCCCTCGCACTCTACCCGAGTTGGCCGTGGGCGAGACTCCGGGATCTGCAAAGCAGCAGTCGAGGTGACAGTGCCACGTCATGAGGCTGATGCGGCTCTGCAGTCAGTGCCCTGCACTGCGTTGGCTCCAGTGGGCCCCGGTGACCTGGAGGCTGAAACCCAGCAGCTTTTCTCGAGCCTCGCACAGACACGGGTGTCGCGGCAAGCACGAGCCTCTGGGGCCTGGATCTGTAGGAGGGGCAACGTGTAGCTGGGAGCGCTCTAGCCTCTGCGTGTCTTGGTGCGCGACAAACGTCGTACTTAATACCTATTTGGGCAGGGTTGAAGCTATTCCGAAGCCCCCTCCCTACCTCGCCCATTCATGCGAGGATCAACACTTTGGATAGAGAATACTCTGTATCTCAGTAAGGAACGTGCGCTTTTGTGATGACTTGGATATAGTTCTTCTACTGGCATTTCTTGGTTTGGTCTGGGGGTTATTTCCTTGGGTCTCTCTTACTTTTATACGTCGCGGTGAGTCTTTTCCATTGGAAGCCAAAGCCATTCTATCTAGCGACGTAGTTTCGCCAGATCGAATCAATAACCCTCAGAATAGATTCCTGTCTTTCTCCTACTATTCATACTTGATATCGTGTACCATAGATACCGATACTGTAGGTCTACGCCCATGAACAAAGATACATAGTCCAAGACGCGCTATGTTTAGAAGATCTACTATTTTCTTCAAACTCATAATTGAGACTGTCTATGTACGTAAATGTTATATATGCATTATCACCCAGCCAGCACAGACTGGAACGGAGGGTGTTATAGACATAGTAAGATGTGAAGTCGAGAGCAGCTCAGACTTGCCTTTTTGAATGTACCTCATAGACCCGAAATCCCCTTTGCCCATTCAAATCCAGGATCCCGTGTCACAATGCAAATCCCATCCATTCGCGCCAGCACCCATACCGAGAAGAAGTAACCAGCTGTCTCCCTTGCGGGAGGCGGTTGCAGTCTCCGTCAGCTAGGGAGGGCTGAATGAAATAGGACCCGCGGGTGAAACGGAGTGGACTGAACGAAGCTTTGAAGAGGAGGTCTCGGAAGTATCTGATCCACGTATTGTCATCATTGCTGCGTTTTATATATGATTTGAGACAAGGCGACGTTTGGTAGTGAGCGGTCGTAGAGTAAATCAGCGCCATCATTCAGTCCAAGGCATCAGTCCCCTTGGTTTTGCCCTTTTCCATCTTTGCGGTCCTGGAGCCAAACTGAATAGCCCGCTTCTTTTCTCGAGAGACGTTTTCCAAGCCCAGTTTGAGCGCTAGGAGACGAAGGGCTTTCTTCTCAGGGTCAATGCCGGTATCTGATGGTGGAGAGTTAGGGACTCCAAAGCCACATTTCTCCCAGACTGGGGTTTGCACCACCCAGGCGACAAAGTTTTCATCTAGGAATGGAAACCGTGCTTCGCGGCCCCAGTGTGCAATGACCCTGTTATCACGGCCGAGATTGCGCTTTCCTAGGCGGCTGACGTCGAGTTCGATTTCGTCGATGAGACCTTCGAAACCGTTGCGGGAGAATGCTATTCCGTGCCTAGAATAACCGGCGAACAGCTCGTCCGCACCCAGGCCGGAAAGGAGGACACGGGCAGGTGTTGTGTATTGTGAAGGTTTGGCGTCAGGTCGTTGGCTGTCGTGTGCTGTGCCTTGACCGCGGGCTGCAAAGTACAGTGCACACGCAATAGAAAGATCCATTTCAGTATTGTGTGGCCGCATTAAGCGCTTGATAGTATCGCGGTGCGTGACGGTCACGATGTACGGAATGTCAATAGCAACAAATCGCCAGTTGCGAGTTGGGCAGATGCGTTGAAGCTCGGCAAATGCTGCTCGTCCGGTGATACGGTCGGGGCAACCTTCGTATGCAGATGAAGGTTGTTCTAGCCCCTTTGATGCTGCCGCTACAACTCGCGGGTTTTCGAAAGCGACATTCAGAAGGTCGATCGTTTCCCCGGCGGGTAAAATATCATGGGCAAGTCTTGCGAGGAGAGTGCAGTCCAGGCCACCGGAGAACAGCACGGCAATCTTGACATTGCCTTCCCCTCCAAACGGAGGATCGCGCACATTTTGAATCCTCAATGCCAGCGACTGACGGAGTCTGCGTTCCAGCTCACTGAGGACAGACGATGTAGTAGTTAGTGGCGAGGGAATGCCCTCGGGGACTGCCTTATTCATTGGAGGAATGGGACTTATCTAGAGGTTCGATCAGTTACCCGCCATCAGCAAAGAGCATTCGCGTTAGGCCGTACCATATGATATGTCGGCAAGACCTCATGACTCCATGGTATCTTTTGTATGTTTTTGATGTCAAAGCGTAGAGGGCCTGCAGCTGGGGCCGGTTCAGGGTCCGCGTTTTGGTCATCTTCGAATTCGATCATATATATGCCGTCTGCCTCGACCTCCTGGAAAGAGGAAGGCGAAGAAGCGTCACTCAGACTACATAGCGTGAAGTTCCCTGCCTCATCAAGGCCCCAAAGAAGAGACCGTCTCCCTAAGCAGTCTCTTCCAAAGTACAGTCTGAAGTTGACGGCGTCGTAGAAGACGAACGCGAAAGGCCCGGTAATCTTACTGATAGCGTCTGCCATTCTTTGGACCGGATTAGAAACAGCATTGTAGTCTTCTGATGAGTAGTCCTGCGTGGTGGCTTGGAGGAAATGGTTGAAAACAATCTGCGTGTCGTTCCTCTCAGGTATAGGCTGTCCATCAATCTTCCAAGCGTCCCCGTTCCAGGCAAATATGGATCCCGTTCTGCCGCTGTCTGTGAGCGGTTGACGAATGATATCTTCTCCCCTCATGGCGAGAACGGTGCTTGCGAAGGAAAGCCATATCCGGCCACTACCCTCATGGTTGAACAAGTTCAGGCCTGCGCCGCGGACACCAATGCTGTATGAGCCCTCATCTGGCCCTCGTTTAGTTAACAGATAGCGTAGGTCTTTGTCCAGAAGCACGGGGTTCTCAGCCGCGGACAGCGAGAAGAAGATTCCGCACATGCTCTTTTGTTGCAGGCTCCCATAAGGGCCGATTCTCTCGGACACGGAAAGAAAGAGAGCAACACCGAGGGAAGAGATAATTTCACAAGAAGGCACCGGACCCGGGAGAACAATGATCCCACCCGGATTGTCTGGTCAACAATTCAACTTCACGAGCTTGCTACCACCTGGCTATACAAGGGCTGGTTTCAAATATTGCTTTGACCATATTCCGGTCTAGCTTATTGTCATAGCTACCGAGTCGGGGCCTCCGTCCGTACCGCGATAGCTCGCCCAAGCCGGCGAGCTTCCTCCGAACAGCTCCCCGCAACATGATTCATACTGCCGCCTGAATTACTAGAAGTGACTCGACGAACGTACCTCTCTCTCTGCTTCGCGACACGTGCAAATACCCTATGTCCGCCCTAGACCCCCGAGACGCGCCGACCCCCGTTACACCTGGGCAAACTCGATCAGAGACGCCCAATGAGGGGGACGAGGCTGAGCGGCAAGTGACGTCGGCTGCCGTCGAATCAACAGCGCAAACACAGCATGCGACTTCAACCACGGATAGTGTAGGAAGCGCTCCGTTGGAAGATATGAGAGAAGGAACCTGGAACGCATCAGAAGCCGAAACTCAAAGGCTATCGGACATGCCACCGGCGATGGATACTCCACGCACTGCGTCTGAGAAAGACGCCGCCCCGTCAGAGCAGATGGGGGCGCTCTCAATAGCAAACGACAAAACGGAGCAGAAATACGTATCCGACATGGGTGCGACCCCGCCCCCTCCCCCGGAGAAGGACGAGCCCTACACCAACCGTACCGGTACTACCGAGTGGACGGAGAAAGAGCTGCCAGAAGTGCCGAGCGGCGATGAAAAGAAGGTGGATAACGGCAAAGGGCGCGCGAAGGATGATGATTCTCAGTCGGAAATCCAGAGCATCATGGGCCAGTTCGCGGAAGCTACCCAGGATGGGGTTCAGGAGCAGGTTTTGTCCCCCCGGATGGAATTGGCTGAGCAGTTTCTTGGGGCCCAGAGTCATTTCCCACCGAGGAAATCAAGCTTGGATCATGGGATGGCCGCCGGCACCAATCAGCAAACCCCCAAAGCTGGGTCTGCGTCTTCGTCTACCCTCGAAAAACAGCCTGGAACGATTGCCAAAACCCTCCATAGAAATTCCACTGCAGAGGAATTTACCTTGACTCGGCGTTCCTCGACATCAACGATTCCTCCACCTCCTGAACCTGAGCCCGACCAACCATTCGATTTCCACCGCTTCCTCGAACAATTACGGCATCGCACCGCCGACCCTGTCGCTAAATTCCTACGATCTTTCCTCCACGAATTTGGGAAACGTCAGTGGATGGTACACGAGCAGGTCAAGATTATTAGTGACTTTCTCGCTTTTATAACGAATAAGATGGCAGCTTGCGAAGTATGGCGAGACGTATCAGACAGCGAATTCGACAACGCGAAGGAGGGCATGGAGAAGCTCGTGATGAATAGACTCTACTCCCAGACCTTCTCACCTACAATACCAAGTCCCCCATCGATTCCGCGGAGCGCGAGCAGAAGCAAGCGGCGTGAGATGGAGAGATTGCATGGACCGTGGAGGAAAGGTCAACACCAGGAAGATGTTGAGCGGGACGAAGTATTAGCGCAAAAGATGCGGATCTACAGCTGGGTGAAGGAAGAGCATCTTGATATCGCACCTGTGAGCTCGTCCGGCCGCCGATTTCTGAACCTTGCTCAGCAGGGTAAGTTCGTTTCATATCTTATCCCGGAGTCATCCTAACAAGCTCCAGAACTGCTGAAAATCAATGGCTATCGGGCGCCTCGCGACAAAGTCATCTGCATTCTCAACTGCTGCAAGGTCATATTTGGTAAGTTGGACTTCCCTGAAGACCGCAAGATTGCGTGCGTGGCTGAGACACCTTGAGGTCTATTGCGGAATGCAAAGAAATCCGACACTTCGGCAGATTCGTTCATACCACTTTTAATCTACGTCGTACTCCAGGCCAACCCGGAGCACCTGGTGTCCAATATACAGTATATCCTCCGGTTCCGTAATCAGGAAAAGCTTGGTGGAGAGGCTGGCTACTACCTATCTTCTCTGGTAAGTACACATATTATCATCACGAGTGTCTACGCAGTCTACTCTACGCAGTCTACTAAACAATTCTCTCAGTCCGGGGCCATCCAATTTATCGAAACACTAGACCGGACCAGCCTGACCGTCAGTGACGAAGAATTTGAGAAAAACGTCGAGGCCGCTGTATCAGCTATCGCCGAGCAGCACCGTGCATCCGAAGCGTCAGATCCAAGGACGTCAACCGAGAGCGCACCTAGGCCATCGCGCAAATCCGCCGATGTACCGCGCAACAATCCCAGTCGAAGGGACCAGTCACAATCTAGGGAGGAAGATAGTGCACCAGTAGCGGGCTTATTGCGAACGATCCAAAAACCATTATCTACCATAGGGAGGATGTTTTCGGATGAAACAGAACCTCCGCAAGACACGACACCTCGTCCTGAAATCTCACGGCGGCTCACGCCTAACGTATACCAACCACCCCGTGCCAGTGGCGAAGAGGTCCGGCGATCTAGTGAAAGGTCCCGGTCACGTACCGCACAGCCTTCACCTTCACGAAGGCTTGATGCTCAAGATGCGGCTGCCCGCCAGGCCAGCGCTGAGGATGCGCAGGCCCGACGGATTCAGCGCGCCGAGCATAACAACGTAGTTGAGACGCTCGCGAATATGTTTCCCAACCTTGACCGTGACGTGATTGACGATGTGGTCAAGATGAAGGAGGGAAGGTGAGTCGTTCTGCAGTATCGTTCTGTGGATTTGGCTAACTTGACTGAATCAGGGTTGGATTGGCGGTAGATGCGTGTCTTGCACTCAGCGGGGGTTAATTCATAGATGACCAGCAATCTATCCTCTAATTTCGAACTAGTTACTGGCTCTCTCAGTCTTAAACTGGGCATACCGTGTCAGTCGTAGTAGTAGTAGCCTGAGTGAGGTCAGCTTGGTAGTAAATGAACATTTACCGATCCCATTGGATCCATTGACACCTGATAATCGTCCGGACCGACTACCACTAAGTAGCATCGTGTAGCATCGGTACCTAGACCATCATCGTCGCCGGATTCTGCCAGCCTCGAAGGAGTGACTAGTAGCAGCAAAGCTACGATCACGTGCGGCTTTAGCGCCAAACAATCCTCGCTAATCACTAGTGCCATTCCCAGCCTCCTGCCAGGCTATAAATTCCTCGTCCGCCCGCGTCCCTTTGGACTTTTTCTTCTTTTTTTCTTCATACTTACCTTGTTTGGGTGGCTGCGATCAAGAAGGCGGTCCACCACAGATTGGTCCCTGCATTGCACAGCGCGGCGGAACGGTCTGTTCAACGGCCTTCGGGTCATTGACAGGCGTATTCTTTGGCACTTTCCTCTCTTCGAGAGACTCCTTTTCATCAGGTCTTGAGCCAGTGGCTCGAGGGTGGAGAAGAGGTTTCTTTTCGTTTCTGGTCTTCCATAGCCTCCATAGTATTGAATCGATTGTTCCTGTGTAAGAAGTTCACTCAAGTTCCATGTCCAATATTAGTAGTCAAGCTAGTCGGCAAGCAACAATTTTGAGGTCTGAAGTTGCTCGTATACTCGGTGTTGCGATCGTTGGCTGTCGTCGAAATCGTAGCGCTACGGACCCCTAACTAGAACCAACACCAGTCGCCGCTTCGCCATAAACCGAATCCAAGCTGCTTGCCGTGACATTAATATTTAACCAACTGGATTATTCTTGTTTTCTTCAAATCATCATGCAGGCCACTGCTTCTATGGAGAATATATATTTCTTCAATCCCCAGGGTGAGATCGGCTTAATGCGTCATTATTTATCACCACCGTCCACACCACCAAGACCACAGGATAGAACCCTGCTACCTGTTCTGAACGCCCTTCTCGATGGCTCCAGCAGTGCCAAGAGGATATGAAAAACCAGCCGACATGGTCTGGAGCTCTGACTTCATGAGCGAATGTTGCGTTCCTCAGGGCTCTTATCAGACGTCATACTGACGCCTAGACGGCCTCGGTGCAGTATAACTGCTTCGACCAGCTATGATCTTCTAATTATCCTTCCTGAACTACGAATTCCACTACTATACATCCACTGTATCCAAAATCACCTATCCTGTGGTACTGAACCGTAACCAACAGTCAACATGGAGCCTGAAACACAGAAGGAATCGCGCGGACCTCAAAGCCAATTCCAATCCGGTGAGCAGCGACAGGGACATGGTCATTGAGACATAGCTAACGTGTTACGCTTCAACTAGGCCATGAGGTCCCCGTCCAGCAACAAAAGAAGCCAGGCCTTCAATCCCAGATGGAGAAGCCTCAGCCTACCTCAACACAGATCCCTTCCGAAGACCAGGGATACCAGACATACAAGGCCGCTGGCAAGTTAACAGGAAAGAAGGCCATCATTACTGGCGGCGACTCTGGCATCGGTCGTGCGGTCGCCATTCTGTACGCGATGGAGGGCGCCTCAAGCTTGATTGCCTACCTACCAGAGGAAGAGGAGGATGCGCAGGAGACGAAGCGACGGGTTGAGGAAGCCGGGCAGAAGTGCTATCTCTTTGCTGCGGATCTGCGCAAGAAGGAGAACTGCAAGAAGGTCATCGACACAGCGTTGGAGAAGCTAGGAGGAATCGATATCTTGGTCAACAACGCCGGAACGCAGACTATGCTTCCTGATATCAGCGATTTGGACGAGTGGGTTGACCAGGTCCTAAAGGAGACGAGACTGTTTGCTAACGATGACTCTTTACTCTAGGTCTCAATGGGAAAGCACGTTCGACACAAACATCCACCCCGTGTTCTACCTCTCCAAGTACGCAATGCCGCACCTGAAGTCCGGCTCTTCCATCATCAACTGCGCTTCCGTCAACCCTTACATCGGCCGGCCCGATCTCCTCGACTACACATCGACCAAGGGCGCCATTGTTGCGTTCACTCGTGGCCTGTCGAACCAGCAATGCAGCAAGGGTATTCGTGTCAACGCCGTGTGTCCCGGACCAGTCTGGACTCCTCTCATCCCAGCAACGATGACCACCGAAGCTATCGAGCAGTTCAGTGGCGTGCCGATGGGTCGTGCAGGACAGCCTAGCGAAATCGCAACCTGCTTTGTGTTCCTCGCCAGTCAGGACAGCAGCTACATCTCTGGACAGAGCTTGCACCCCAACGGAGGTGTTGTTCTCAACGGTTAATAGTGATTCTGTATAGTTAGCAAGGGACAGCTTTATGCTGTGGCGTAATGTGGCAACGATAATACGAACTTGAACATGAGTCATTGGTGCCTGTTCTCAAAGCTGTAGCCTGGCCTGGCCCTTCGAAAATCCGTATTGATCTCCATCCAGTATCCGTTGTACGGCGTACCTCGCTCAAAAGTAGACATCGCCACCGTCCATACTCTGGCTAACGTAAGTCACCTGACCTGACGTTTAACGCCTCTATCTCCGTGCTCTGTGACGTAAACCTCCGCTATATCTACTTCGACTCCGGCCACTCTTGCTGCATACTACAGTCAGAATTATCTTGCGTATACATCTACAATACCCTGTGTCTCAAACAAATTGACACCCTGAACCAACCGAACAAAATCTACAATCAAAACCCTCCAACTACCCACCAAAATGCCCGTCCCACTCTTCACAGAACAAACCACCAACCAGCTCCAGGGCAAAGTGAACCCGAACACAACCCAGTTCTCCCAGCAAGCCGGCGCCCCAGGCACAACCTCCAGCAGCAGCGGCAACACCAGCCACGCGACGACAACCAGCTTCGCAGGCAGCAGCTTCCCCTCTGCGACGAATGCGCAGGGCCAGCGGTTGAGCAAGGAGGAGGCTGATCGGCTTTACGAGGAGCGCATGGAGGAGGAGTATGCGAAGAGGGAGGGGGGTGCCTAAGCTGAATGGATGTTGATCTTGAGGTTGAGAGTCGGAGGCGCTAGGAGGTATGGATTGGACGGGTTGAGGGGGTGATTAGTTGTAAATAGTTTTGATGCTTGTGCTTACCTCTTTATTATTATATGTGAATATGATTCCAAATAATGACTTTCCTAAGTGGATTTTCGATTGATTTGACTATGCTTAGCCTGTGCGGTGGTAAACAGAGAGGAGAGGGGTGGAAATAATCTTCAAGGCCGCGCCCAGGTTCGAACCCGTGCCCAGTTAGCTTCAAAATTCCAATCCCAATACCCAAAAAGGAAATCTCGCTCAGATGAGGTCGGGGAGTAATAAAAAAAAAACTGGTAGCTTCTCTTTGATTGAGCGTGTCATCCTTAGTGCAGGGGCCATGCTAATCTTCTCTGTATCGTTTCAAATTGACCAAATGCCCGAAGGCAACAGTTATTGTTTAATGATGACCTATATAGCAAATTTGCAAGAAAATAAACAGCTATGATTGGTGGATGCGGATGTAGCCCGTGCGCTAAAGGAACATCAAAATTCTGGCTTGGCAGCTGTCCCCTGCCTTAGCCGTGAGGTTGTCATTATGATACTAGTTTTCCAATGGAGAGCCTCGACTCTCTAGGAAGAAAATTGTCTGCTACCATTACGGTATTACCAGCCCACAATACGCGAATCGCAGACCTGGTCGGACGATCTGATGGGGTTGAAACGACCATTTACCTGAACGGTCGAGCATCTAGACTACGTGCTGATCAACGGATTACTAGGGCCCAAAGGGCGGCTTAGTGCCATGGCGTATCTTATTCCTGGGTGGGAAACGGGAGCTTTCCCGTCTGATAGTCTGACAAAAGGAGTAAGACGGATGCTGTACCTTGGAATATGGATAAAGGCATCGGGAACAGTTGGCTAACGTTCAGACTAGGATCAAGAAACCGCGCAGCAAGCCTGCAGCAATTAAAATAATGTCAGTCCCTTGTGAAAAGCTCAGCTCCAGACGATGCTAGGGAACTCTCCCCTTGAAACAGCGGAGCAACTTGAGGCTATGAGTTTGAGGCTTTGAGTAAGATCTTCTCGTTCGGCGTTCGCGGATTCCGGGCACGGCTCTTGAAAGTTGAAACAATAATGTGCCGCTGGGCCCTGGTGAGCAATGAGGCCTTGCTTCTGCCGCGGGTGGATATGCCAACTCGTACAACGACTCAACGAGTTGGTCGTACTCCATAGAGTACGTACGACTGCACGGCTGCGCCTTTGTACCCCGTACCTACATTGGTTGCTTCGTCGTCGACTCCAGAGACATTTTGGAGTCTTGATCAACACTTGGTTAAGATTATGCTCCCTTTGTCGTTGTCCGAGTCAGTCTCACATCTCCGCCGGCAAATTTGCCATCTCCGACCCCGGCCTCGACTCGAAAGACATCACCATGCATGGCTGAACTATTTTATCACCGAGCCCGCGGAAACTAGTTCGGGGACGAGGCAAAATCCCGAGAAGTCCAGAAGCCCAGAACTATAAAGTTGACCACTGACAGCACGCCCAAAGTAATGATGCAGCATCGAAAGTAATCACCTGGACTCTGATTTGTCTTTGTGCTCCCACCGCTCCCACCGTGGGTTGCTCCCTGTCTTTGTCTGCATAGTTTTTGAGGCCGATTGCTGCGCGCTGACCTTTGCCTCCACTGTCATTGGCTGAGCGGGGCATTGTACGCGGGTGAAGCAGAGGAGAAAAAAATTGGCAACATCAGACGTGCACGTCCATAGCTCGGAGTTAGGTTAGGCCTGGAAGATAAATATCTGGGTTGCGCTGCTGCCATAATTGTTGCTCAACCCACTTCCAACCTTCTACGTGCCTTCTCTCGAGCTTCGTTGCGAAGAACATCAAACACTCGCGATCGACTTGGTTCCCGCTGACGTCAGGGTCTGGGAGCTTTTTTCCTCTTTGGGACTCTGGGAACATCGCCCGCTGCGATTGTGAGGGAAATTCCGGGCAGCGTCGTTTTTATTTCACGACAAACAGAGGAGTCTGCTGTCCTGAAAACACTACAGCATGGCTTTTCTATTCATCAAGCAGAAACTCTTCCCTGAGCGACGCACCAAATCACAACCAAGCTATAGTTCGTCAGCCCTACCCGCAGCGCAACGCCAGGAACTAGAACAAAGCTAACAGTCGCATAGGAAAGCCACTGCTCGGCTCAGACGAAGACGACGACGACTCCGACACTATCATTAACAGCAACGGCAGCATGGACCGCGACGTTGAAAGCCAGCGGCCCAGAGCATACCACACATTCCGCGACTCGTCGCCATCATCATCCACCTACGATGTCGAGAGCACAGGGAGCAGTAGCACCAGCACGCGGTCACGCATTGATCCCCGGATCGTTTCAGATGCTATCCTCGGACTGTCGGATGGTCTCACGGTTCCCTTCGCCCTGAGCGCTGGTCTCTCAGCGCTAGGAAACACAAAGGTCGTCGTGCTTGGTGGGCTGGCGGAGCTCGCCGCGGGCGCGATCTCCATGGGATTGGGAGGATACGTTGGCGCAAAGAGTGAAGCGTATGTCTACCCTTTTTCATTAGCCCCGGATGGATTGACGCTAACATCTAGCAGAGAATCATATCAAACCACCGTCCGCGAAACGACAGAGCTCATCGACTCCTCGCCCTCCGAAACAGAAGCCATCGTCTACGACATCTTCGCCTCGCACGGTGTTCCAAACGACGCTATCGCACCCATCAACGCTTCCCTGCACGCATCGCGCGACCGCCTCCGCGAATTCCTCATTACCTTCCATCACAAGGAGTCCGAGCCGGACTGCAACCAAGCATGGACGAGCGCGATCACGCTTGCCCTGGGATACTTCATTGGCGGCTTCATTCCGCTTGTTCCGTACTTCTTTCTCAACCAAGTGCTTGTTGCGCTGTATTGCAGTGTTGCGGTAATGGCGGTCACGTTGCTGGTCTTTGGGTACATTAAGACGGCCGTTGTGCGCGGGTGGAGTGGACGAGAGAATGTCATTGCTGGCATTAAGGGCGGAATTCAGATGGTCATTGTTGGGGGCGTTGCAGCGGGCGCGGCGATTGGGTTGGTGAGGTTGATTGGGGGCGAGACATGATCTTCTCACCCATATTCTGTCCTTTTTCTTCGGCATCATCCTCGACCGGCGCGATTCGCAAGACTTCACTTCTCATATCGATACCCGGTGGACTAGATAACAGTCCACCACTCTCTGTACTATAGTCACGAAACCAAAATATAACAATATACCCTCCTTGCAAGATCAAGACAGCGCATCCCAGCCCTAACACCCAGCAAAGATATCACCAGAACCGCCCACCCCCTCCAAAGACCACGCGCAAGCCTAACGCAACGCAACCCCCCTCCCCACAACCAAATCACGCATTCTCTCAACCCCCCAAAGCCTTCTGAATCAACTCCCGACTCCTCCCCTCAAGCTCCATCCCCAGCGCCAACTCCCGTCCCCTCTCACTCATCTTCACCCAAGTCCGCTGCAAAATCCCAATGACCTTCTCCTCCTCATACCCCTCCTGAAACTCCTCCAGCTGATCCTCCAAAAACACAAGACAAGCAACATCCTCCAACACCTGCACCTCCTCGTCCTCACCACCCTTCAGCCCCTCCTTCCGCACCAGCGCCGCAACCCTCCCCGCAACCGCCTCATCATACCCGCCCTCAACGCACAACGCCCGCGCGATCTCCGCCTGCCGTTTCGCGAGGTAGCTCCGCCAGCTGTGGTACCCGATTTTCGTAGCGGGGAAGTCTGTGCGGGGGACCTCCCAGCGGCGGAGGTGTTGGGCGCGGACGGCGAGGCGGAGGGGTTCAGAGGCGGAGGGGGAGCGGAGGGCGAGGTATTTTGTCATTTTGTTGGCGTAGTGGAGTTCGTATGGGATGGGTTCAACTTCTGGGGAGGAGGTTGGCGGGGTGATGGTTTTGGGGTCTGCGGCGTGGGCGGCGTCGATTAGGGAGAGGGTTTTGTCGAAGGGGGTTGTCATTTTGGTTGGTTGTGATGGTTGGATTTGGGGTTATTGGAGGGGGAAGTGCTTTGTGAGTAGCAAAGTATGCGTGCGATTGCGGTTGAGTTGTAGGATATAGTGATTGCGGGGTGGGTAGGTTTGTAATAGATCTGGATTTTATGGCTCGGTTGGATCCCGGGTAAGTCCCGCTTTGCCTGTCTCGGGATTTGGAAGCAAGGTACGGCATTGTTACGGAGTATATGCTACAGAGAGCTACGTGGGAGGTGGACAAGTTTGATAGATCTTTGATTCTATCTACTGACTCTGCACTGGTTGCTGCTCAAGCAGCTCTGAGGACGCGTCTCGCTATCGTGATGCGTCGAGACAATTGAAAAACATGTGGAATCCGACCAACGGATTCGACCTTTAACACAAGATGAAAGCAAGCATTACAGCATTTGATGTTTCCGCCGTTCGAAGAGGCAAAGTGCCAAAAGAAACCTTCCCGTGTGAATCAAACACCCAAACGCCGTCCGATCAAGTAAGCCGGGTATATCCAGCACCGTGATGCAAAAAATGTACTGAGAATATGCTGACGATCAATGGTGTCGTCGAGCTGGAGATCATTTCCTTCCACTGGGCTCAAGGGCAGGCTGAGCCTCTGCAGTGGGTCTGTAACGTAGCTATGCGATGTGCATAGTAGAAGGCAACATAAATAGGTAAAAAATCTGCTTTTTGCGCGCAAGTCTGAGGTTCGTCACCTCGCACCAATCCCGAACATACCGACCCCATAGCTGCCCCCTCTGTCGGGAGGAGCAGAGATCCTTGGGACGTGATCCTTGTAGACATCAGTACACTGATATCTTCAAGCGACAGGTATAACACTCATACCTTCTTTCGCTTTTTCTTTCCTCCCCCTTCGCCATTTGAATAGAACGCACTATCGTCATCGTCATCCGCATAGCCCTCGCCGTACCCCACAAAGCTATTGTCATCATAATGCCTCTTTCGGCCTCGGCTCGGGCGACCTCGTTCTGAATCGGCTGGCATAGATGTCCCGTTCGGTTGACCCACAGCTCGAGGAGCGGTTGCGGAAGTAGGGGTCTTTTTGGGGCCGTCTCCCGCGCTACTCTTCGCTGGCTTGTCATGACCTAGCACGTCCTCCCAGTAGTCGTTGTTCGGTACCGTACCCGGTTCCATTTTCATAGCCTTCAATTGCATGTTGTAAAGCGCCGAATCAATATCAGCCACTTTTATCTCCTTGCCGAAGACTTTCTGGTTTTGCCACTCTTCCTCCGGCCACATCGTCATCTGCCTGAGCCCGCCAGGCATTGAAGGATCGTGTTTGACCGGTTTGTTCCTTCCAGCGAGCCCTAACCCCTTCAATTTGCCCTCGTATGACTTTCGAAGCCGATTAATCTTCGCACCCGTGACAGGGTCATTCCTTACAACCGATTTTGCGATAGGTCCTAAGCCGTACAGCGAGATAAGATCGACTGATGGGTCTGGTCCAGTCGCAATGTGGGCTGTAAATTTTGCAAGACGTTGTGTTAACATAGTTGAGATCCAAACAAGTATGGGAGAGCATTGTGGGGTGCACAAGGGGCAACAGCCATAGCAAGGATTAGGGAGCTCTTACAGCTTTTGCAAAGATGGAAAGCTGACGAGAAGTCTTTCTGCAAAGACTCTAAGCTGGGCCAATTGGAGTTAGTCTGCGCTGGTGTTTTCGTATCGAGTTCCATGGCATCGCCTTGCGGTGGTTGCGTAGAGCCGCCCATTTGTGCGAAATCGCGTACTCCTGTCCCTGCTTCAGCGGATGCGAAATCCCGGTTGTGATCCGTGCGTCTGTGTTCAGATTGCTGGACAGGCGCGACACTTGCGCTATTTGTGTTAGGCACTCCTGCCTCTGAAAAACCTGCGCCAAACGACTTATCCATGTGGTCGGGGTCGACGCTGCTGGCCGGGGTGGGGAATGAGTTCGTTACGCCCGCTGTCGGCTGCTGAGAGCTCTGGGTAGTCATGGGCACCGAGGAAGGTGGAGTAGAGAGGCTGGCAGGTTGCGACGGAGGCTGGCTAGATGCTTGCACGTTTGCGAGATTGGAGGCATCGTTCGGAGCGCTTACCGACATCAACGGAGGCGATGTCGGCGTCTGTGGAATCTGCTCGGGAGGAATCGTCGAATATATGCTGTCCTTGAAAGAGTTGAACGGGGCGGGAGATGATGGTGACGGCGAAGGGGGTCCTGTCCGGAATGGTGCCGAGGAGGTGCGATCGGACATGGGAAGTCTGAGGCGGAGGGGGGGATGGAGGAGTGGCGGCGGATGTCTGAGCAGCCCTATCCTATAGCCCTAAGAGAAGACCCCAATCGAAGTTCCTCTACCACCAGGACGGATTGCGGCACTCAGACCACGAGAGACGGAGGAGAGACGGAGGGACGGCCGGACGAGGTTCGCTCAAGCGACGATAGGACGAGCGTTCTGGTAGTCGCACATGCCAAAGGGACCGCCCTGAAAACCAGCAGAGTTGTCGGTAAAGTGAGGATGAAGTGATGCAGAGCGAGTGAGCGGAGAGTTGAAGGTCAGCGGGTTGGTGGTGGTGGAAAGATCGATGACCCTTTGATCTGCACAGTATTAAGGTGAAACCAACCTTGGACTTGAAAGGCCTTGGATGACGGAGAGCACGTGATCCGCTTTCAGCCTTCGCATTTATGAGGCGGCAGGCGTCGGGCCCACATTCATCTGCACCTATCATATGCAACTTGCAGAACACCGAAGGTTGATCAGATTAAGCCTTGGATTTCTACGCTGGAACAGAAAATTTGGTACACTACATGTATTGATGAGATACACCATCGGACACAGAGATTTCGAACGCGGCTTGTTCAGGACTGATAATGCGCTGTCGCCGTCTGCATCGCCAGCTGAGTAGTAACATCTGGAATGTGGTCGGCCAGCGAATCCATCAATTCCAGCTGTTCTTGCTGACTTAAAGTTCTTCCTCTCCATGAATTCGTTGGGTAGTCGCCGTTGAAATAGTGAGAGTATTGATCGCCGAAAGCATCGGCCCAGTTCATTGGGTCAGCGGTTGCGCTCGAAAACGGCATCGGATCAGCTGTGGTTATAGAAGATAAGGAGAAGTTGGGATCCCAGCCCGGTAGGCCAGGAACAACGGACGGAAATGAATTGAAAGGCGTGGTTGGATCAAAGTTCAGGTCGGAGCTGGGTAGTAGCGAGGTATCGGGCGCATCGTAGCCCACAGAGGATTGCGCCTCGGTTGTAGCTTCTGGTGGGACAGTAGGGTCCCAAGGAGGCGGTTGTAGGGCCTTCACAGAGTCGGTAGGGATAGATACCGAAGTGTTCATTTGCGGAAAAGGGAAGGAAGGGTCAGCTGACGGGCCCCTCGAGAAGGTACCAGCCGATGTCGTGTCTGCTACTGAAGAACCGCCGGCTAGGATATTATGTGAGTGTGTTGAGGCTGCGGTGCTTGCAGGGCTTGCCATAGATGGCGGGGATTGCACATCTTGAGAGGACGCCGGTGTCGCATGGCTAGACGGGTTCGAAGGTGAATGGACGACAAATGACTCTTCGGTATTATATGCCCTAAGGCAAGCGGCGATCAATGTCTCATAGAGCATCCCGGCAGATCTTACCCCGGGCCATCTGTCTGAAGCCTTCAAGATGCCCTCTAATGCAACTTCAAGGTTTTTTTCAACCTCTTTCAACGGATGTTCCCTTCTAATCTCAGGATACGAAAGTGTCCAAAGAAGAGTGTTCAACGCCATGAAAAGCGACTGGGTGAATATCCAAGTGAGGTCAACTGACCCTGTGTTGATTTGGTCCAAGTGCATGAAGATGTTAGAAACCGCAGACTCGTAACATTGCTGCGCCGCGTAAACAGAAGGTTCAGGGATCTGTGGCGATGGTCGATACATGAAAATGATCATGGTATGCAGCCGGCCATTGAACCTGCATGACATGCGTAAGTAGTCTCATCTGGGGTGACACAGGGGAACGTGACTATACCATTTTCCGCTTAAGCCACTACCTCCGTCATGGGTAGGGCAGGATTCTACCCACTGATTAAGTTTGCTGAGCATCTGCGAAAACCACGGATCATGGTCGTCAACAGGAGTGTCCCGTTTATTTAGGTAGAGGGTTCGCCGAATTTCAAGCTGCAAAAGACGCATCTTGAAAAAGTGTATTGCGATACACTTGGGCAGGATTGGTTTGGCATCCGGATGTATCCCCTCCCGAGTAATGTATTTATCGTCCACTTGTTCGAAGAATTTGACGTGGATATGGTCATGGCTCACAGAGTAACAGCTTGGCCGTCCCAAACTATGTGACAGCCCGAACTCCATGGAAGTCACGATCCAGAACAATCTCCTCCGCATGTCCACTTCTAGCGGATCCAGCTGTTTCCCAGTGCGCGACTGCGTTATTGTCGCTTCTTCCGTGAGCCCGAGATCCTGGCACAGCTTGACAGCCATACCAACGACCCAGTACGCGGCCGTTCGCGTGGGGGTCAATAGAGAGTATTGGGCTATCAAAACCAGACACTGCAACGACTTGAGGTCCATTCTTCGCAAGGAGGCTTCGAGAAACGGTAACGCGGCGAGGTAGTAGCTGTCCGCTAGGCCTGCATATTCAGTGCTCATTTTTTGCATACTAATGGCAATCACCATGCGTAACTGAAAGTTTTGGCAAGGATCATTGGAGCCATTGAACACTTCCTCAACCTCCTGGTAGAAAGTGGGAATATGCAACGTCGGAAGCATTGCTTGCGCTGGGTAGCAGGTCAGCCAACCAAGCATTCACAGAAGGAACTCTCTACATACCTTTGACAGTAAAGACATCGATGAGTCTGTATGTCAGATGCTTCATCGGCAGATTTGGTTGAGCTATTAGGCTGATCATTGGTTTGACTTTGGAAGTAGGCTTCCCGCTTTCATCGTTGAACACATCCTTTATCTTTTGCGCGATAGACTCGGGCACCACATCTTTGATGCTTTTCGACTGTGTGTTTTGCTTTGCCAGTTCCATAACCAAGCGGGTAATCGCAATACCACTTGACGACCCTAGAAACCTGGCCTCATCGTGTTCTCTGAACCGAATGCGACCAGCTCCACGAATAATCAGTTCAGCATCTGCGGCCTGTTGGACATCCTTTTCCTCCTCCTCCAGCTCCTTTTCCAGCCTGCGCGCCGTTTCGCGCAACTGGACAATGTACGTCCTCGGTATTGTGCGCCTCCGAGCAGAATCATAATATACGCATTGGGCATTGGTGCGATCGCATGGGCCGCATTTTGGGATTCCGGGATCGCATTTGGTCTTGCGCTACGCGAATAGTTAGTACATGACTTGCCCTTCAATAAGGTATCGAAGAATGGCGTATCTGAATGGCGTACCTGTCTGCATCTAGTACAAGCCGCCAATGTGTGCGCAATGCGACCATCGAAGCTAGGGCTAGACTCGTCGGACGCTTTTGACGGAGAGGTCTCCCAAGGATTAGCGAATTGCGGTTGTGTAGTGGCTAAGTCAAGCTGTGGCGCCATGGTGGTTTATCAGACTACAATCGGCCAGCAGAGGAGATATCCAGTATTCCATATAGCCTCGAAAGTGGCAATTGTTCCGTATCCGTATGACCAAGAAGACGGTCTAAAAGGCCATCAAGCACATGCGACTGTGTTTGACAAATGGGTTATCAAGAGTAATTGCGGTTTCGACATAATATTCATGTCGTTTCAGCGAGGCTTGAATGCGCGGCGCGACTGAGGGACAGGACGAGGTCGTACAACGAGCAGAGTGCGATCGTCACTCACGGTTAATTTCAAGGCATCTGTTCTCCTGATTTCTGCAATGTCGGCTTCGGTCGGGCGCCTTCAAATGACGGATTGTCGTCGCGGTTCGCGAAGAGTAAGAGGGACGAGGTTGTCGGCCTTAAGCTCTGACCTGGGCCCACTTGGTCGCCGCTTCAAACGATGAGACGTCAAGACCAGAAGCTAGAGCCGCGGAGAGTCGAGAATGGGTAACAGGATAAAGAGGCGTCCTGGGAAACGGTGAGTCGATCTGGAATCACGGATAAGAGTGAAGGTCAAGTGCCGGGCAATTCTGGCCGATGAAGCCGAGAAAATGGACGAGCTAGCTAAGGCAGGCTTCATGAATCATGGGAGGGCTCAGGGAAACGGTTCCGTCTTAAACCCAAATCCGCGGACCAATGAGCCTCACAGAGCATATGTAGTCAGCAACGCAGATTATTCTGCTTTATGCCTACAGCCTCAGGTCCAAGGCTTTCTTTCGCCCTCCCTGCCCTCAAATGAGCCGAAGCAGGCTCAACGATGAGCTCCCTAGCCTCAGCAGTGGCCAGTGACTGACTGATTTGGTGTGGAGGATTCGGATAGGCACAGCCAGAACATGATCTAGGCTGAGCGGGGGTGGTGGGGTGAAAGGGCAGCAACCGTGGAATCTACGCGTATCAGTCGAGTCCAGATGGCGTGTTCTTTGTTCTGGGTCTCGATAACAGTGCCCATTAATTATACTCCGTCATCTCGGCCAAGAGGTGCCTCCTGTAGCGATGCTGCGATGGTGGGCTCCTTTGACTTGGGTGATCTTCGGCCATCACGTGCAAATCGAAATGGAGCCTTGACCAGTCCGGAGCTCGTGACGTGCCCGATGCAGACTAGCGTGGAGGTGACATCCGCGGGGCAGCTTCCGCTCTCTTTAGTCCTGATACATGTCACGGACTCCGATCCAGACGCAACCCGCTACAGGTACTGCCCCATCTCGTCTATTTCTACTCATTCTTGCCTGCTTTGCCGCTTCAAGGCTTGGCTGTACCTGGATACACTGCTGCTCGGGACCACCAGTCTACGGTACTTCCGTAGGTGCGCGCCTTATGTGAGGCGTTGAGCCGTTGACGCGCTGGGATTGGAACTCATTCGTGCCTTGGCCCAGGACTAGCTTATACCGCTCAAACCCAGCCGTTATCCCTGTGATCTGCAATGGAATCTGCGTCTTTTCCGTCTTGATAGCGGCTCTGTTCTGGTTTCTTTAGCCTCCGAAATTTATCCATACCCCATTGTCTTTCATTTTACCCAACTATCTGAACCACTCGCAGTGGCGCGACAAGTGGTGAGTGGCATCTGGGTCTTTATCATTACGAACTTATTCCTTATTCTCTTGCCGCAATTTGAGAATTGTTCGTTGAGGACCATAGTCTCTTTTCTTCAACAAACCGAGTTTCGTCACATTTATCCTGCGCCTTGAACATCGCAAACTACACCTTTGTGGAGCATTGTCGAATCACATTGAGGGCCTCTCTCTGATTATGATATCTGTATAGGGAATATGTGCAGTTAGAATGTCCGATTCCTCGTTCTTGGACAGACCACTGCTCAAAGTCAGTCGGCCAGTCGCCGCATGCTCAAGATGTCGAACCGCCAAGATCAGATGCGACGGAAAGCTCCCCGCTTGTTCGGCGTGTGAGAGAGCAGGGAAAGCAGATACCTGCTCGAGCAGCGACGAATTCCCACGGGGGAAAGAACGAAGCTATGTTGGTTCTCTGGAAGCCTACTGTGAACGCCTCGAGAAAAAGGCCGCCGAGCTTCGCCAGCGGAAACGGATGCTCACCGGTAGTGAAGGAGGTGTCGTCCATGAAAGCTCCATAACGTCAGCTTCATCAGCTCCTGCGACTCACGCACATCGCCAAGAGGTGTCAAACATAGATGATCTTGTTGGCGACTTTGGTTATCTGTCGGTGGCTCTTTCTCGAATACTGGACACTGCTTTACTGACATCCCTCTAGATCTGTCAGTGCAACCTCGCGAGACTTTCAGGGGATTACATCCAACACCTCCTTTGCCAATCTGCTTCTGTCAGTTTCACTCGGCGAACAGATTCCAAGATCGTCCCCACGGCCGCTACCGCCTCGATCCGAGATCACTCCGCTTATACAACACTATTTCGATACTTTCTTCGTCTTGCTGCCCTTCTTCCACGAAACAAGCTTCTGGGCCTCGGTCGATAGTGTTTACCAGAATGGCGCTCACTTTGCGAAGCCGTTCGACAACTGGACCGTACGGATGGTGTTGGCCATTGCCTACGGTTCCATGTCCAATTCACAAATGGACGTCAATCATCGCAAGGCTCTTTCTCTTATCCAAGAAGCACTCCAGTATGCCGAAGATGTCCTTCGTCCTGGAGCCCTAGTTGGTATTCAGGGAATCCTCTTTCTAGCTCAGTATTCTCTCGTCGACCCGGTTCATTTTCGGACCTGGTATCTCGTAGGCATGGCAGCCAGGGTACTTGTTGATTTGGGGCTTCACCAGGACCATCATGCAGAAGCTGTACCTTCTCCAGAACAGCAAGATCTTCGACGCCGCGTTTTCCATTGTGTTTACTCTCTGGACAGGTATTTGTTTTCTTACTCCAGTTGACGGTAGCGTTTAACGACCTATAGGGCTACGAGTACATCTCTGGATCGAACTCTTTCGTTCTCCGACGACTCCGTCAGCGTCGCTTTCCCGTCTCACTCCAGGGTCGACAAGAGCTATATCTTTTCTCGGAGCTCGGAGCCGGCCTGGAACATGGTCAAAATCAGACGTATACTGTCAGCGGCTTATCAACAAAAATACTTTGCCCCTATCGAATCTTTCTCTCAAACCCCGGCGTCTACGTGGAAACTATACTTACACGCAACTGAATGGTTCAATAATGCACCCAAGGATGCATCGCAAGTCCTTGCTATCAAGTACAATTTGGAATACCTCTACACCACAATCCTCATTTTATCACCATCGACCCGCCATCTGCCACACTGCGATTATACCAAGTTACTTCTATTCAATCGCTGCATAGAGTACGTCCATCACCTTCACCAGATACTGGAGAGCCAAATCCGGCATGTGATGGTTTCTCTCGAGATTCAACGCGTCTACCAAGTCGGTCAACGCTTAATCAACATTGTCAACCAAAGCCCTGACCTTCTTGTGAGCCTCGTCCCACCTGCACCCCAGGTTCCTGACGACTGCCCTAAGCCGCCATCTTTGGAGCTAGAAGACTGTCTGCAATGCCATGAGCGTGTCCTTGAATGTCTGAACCAAGCGGGCAATCTTCTCCAATACGGGGCTCGACGGTGGAATCACCATAGTCTGGCGCAGGAGTTTCAGAAGCTGTCATCGCCTGTCCGCAGGAAATTGTTGCCTCCGGCTGTCACCTACGCTCCGGGTCTGGCAAGTTATATGCCTGAAGGGCCTGCGATCTATCCGCCGGCAGGATTTCAGTATGCTGGCTTCAATCTCGAGCACTCAAGTCCCGACAACTATAATTATAATATTAATGGCTGAACTCGAATGGGCCAAAAGGCACGGGTGGCTTTCCTTTCTGACCCGTCCTGTTTGCGCTTTTCGTGAAATGCTTCGGCTTCTCACTTTGCAACGCCATGAAGATGCGGTGCAAAGGCAATGGCCTGGTTCAGCATGGTCACCATCGAAACGAACAGTCGCAATATGGTTCACGTATGGTAGACGTGTTTTCTTCGGAGCATATGAATGAGTATACACTGATGTTCCAGCTATCCGAACAATACTCAAACTCCGGGAACCTACAGGCACGAGGTGATTCGAGTGTAAGATTTCTTGAAACACAATATGCATGAATTATTGTACAATGTATAGGAGTTGGTGGTAGTAATACATTCTTTCTTCCTTATCCCCGTGGATCCAGCCAAATGTCTATGTAGATATGAACTTGAACTCAGACCGTTCAAAGCCCAACCGTCTATGTAAATCATCATCCCATATCAAAACAGTCCGCACAGCCTCCCTCACGCACTCTCCTCATCAATGTTCCCATAGATGGGCTTCCTCTTCGCAACCTCCGGATCTTCTCCATAACCATACTTAATCCACACCCGCTGCCAGATGGAGACATGAGGCGGCCTCTCCTCACCACGGATATACTCAACGCCCTCCGCAATACGCTGCGCCCGGGCCTCCTCTTCCCCGGAGAGAACATACCTCTGCATCCGGCCCGCAACGCGGGGGTCCAGAACAACATCACCCAACCACTCGCGCTCCTTATCCGGGTTCGCCTCATCCGTCTTATGCACGGATTTATGCCAGTCGCGCTCTTCGTGTGCGAGCTGCGTCTGTTGCTCGTAGGCTGTTGTTCCCGATACATCGACGGGGCTATCAGAGTCTGAGTTGTCTGAGACAGGACCTTCCGTGTACGGGCGAGCCTGTGAAGCAAGCACAAGCGCCGCGACGTCCCTGCCAACGGAGTCGGCGACGTAGCGGCGGTTCAGGAAGCGGTAGATGCGGATGGGGGTGTTGAGGAAGCCGAGGAGGTGCGGGAAGGGGATTGGCGCGGAGCCGTCGAGGGTCTGCGGGATTGAGGGCGGGAGGGGTTGGCTGGGGTAGTCGGCTGTTGAGACGTAGGCGGGTGTCGGGCCGGCGGGTTTCTTCTCTTCTTTCTTTTCTTCGTCTTTCTTCTCTTCTGCTGGTTCTTGCGCTTGCTCTGCTTGCTCTGGCGCCTCAACGGCGGGAACCCGCGGCTCCTCGAGCGCCGTCACGCTCTCCGGCTCCGGCGCGGGCGGCGGATCAATCGGCCCAAGCCACCCCTCGTGCAAACCCCGAACATACTCCTTCCACGTATGCCGCCCGATAACCAGATCCCCGCGTGGCCCGGGCTCATCCCTAACCCCAATCGCCCTCCGCGCCTCCGCAATAACCTCCTCCTTGGACTTAACGCCATCCTCACCAGCCCCAGCCACAGACACAACACTAAGCTCCCCATTCTTCCTCCTCTCCTTCCTAATCTCCTCGGCAAACTTCGCACGCACATCTCCCTCGCGCCGCCCCTCAATAACATCATAGTCCAGCGCGGCCGCCACAAGAATCGGCTTGACGTATTCCTTGAAGTGCTCGCGTGCAGAGCGGAGCCCGTCGCCCGGCGGCGCGGCCAGGAAGACGGTGAGTTTGCGGCGGGACTCTTCGACGGGGAGGGGCTCCCTTGCGATGTGGGCGACGAGCTCGCACCATTTTTGCTGGGCGCGGCGCTTCTCGCGGCGGTCGTAGAGGAGCGCGCCGGTGAAGGAGCCGGTGATTGTGAGGAAGATGAGCCAGTTGCGGGAGGGGAGTTTGAGGCGGATGTTTGGGAGGCCTGTTTGGTCATCAGAATTAGCAGCCCTTCCGACTGATATGGATTGGCGGTGCTGGCATACCCATCATTTTCAGGGCTGGGTTCTGCGGCTTCGGCGCGGGCTTTGCGGCCTTTGAGGCCTCGTTGGAGGCTGAGGCGGTGTTTGACGGGTCCGCCATGATGGGAACGAATGGAGGTATAGAAAATTGATGGATATAGTGGATTATATGTCTTAGATTGAATGCATGAGATCACCACCTCCGTTGCTGTTTGTCGGCTTCGAGTGCTGTTGCTTGGGAAAAAGTTGGGGATCCGCAGAGCTATCCGGGCCCGGTTTTTCCGGCCTGTGTTCTGCCTGAGTAATGAGGCATAAACAACACACCAACTCCGTACTGGAGTAATTGCGTTGTTGCTCGCAATGTGCTCGAGACGGACGATAATTTGTTCTACAGTGTGCCCCGGTGGAGAATATGCACCGTATGGATGAGATATTAAGTTCTCCCCATGGTTCAGATCAGACAGCCCTATTTCTGCCTAACCATGATGCCGTATGGATCGCGGTCCTTCTCGCTGACATGAACTTCGCACGCTCCATCCTCATAGATCTCCTTCAAGCTCGCCTCCGCACCTTCCCCCTCCCTCTTCCTTAGTTCCTCCCACTCCCCCTTCAGAGCCTCCTCCAGTTTATCCTTCATAACAGCCCTCAGATACCCCCTCTCAGTGTTCGAATGCGCAAGCGCAACCACCACAGATCCGTTCTCGATCGCGAATAGAGTTTCATGATGGCTCATCTCACCGGTGAACAGCAGGTCCGGGATCTGCTTCACGCCCTTCATCAACACGCTCGATCCAGACCCGGGGCACACGCCGACGGTGCGGATTTTGATGTCGTCGACAGACGCTGATTGCGGAATAGCAATGGGAATACCGCCGGGATAGCCTACGCCTTTGGCAATGTTGTCGATGACAGTAGTCAAAGGTTGAGGGTCGTTAAATGTGACGAGGCGGCCCATTCCTGCGTCTTCCAGGCCTGTGGGGACGGGAGCCGGGGAGGGGTGAATTGTGCTTCGGGCGTGGGGGATTGTTGTAGAAGAAGGCGAGACGGGACCCGGCTGGGGGTATGTTGGGGCTGAGTAGAGTTTAGAGGAGGAAGATTCTTGGAAGGCGACGGAGGGGGTGGATGGGGTGGTCGTGCCGGTGACGACGTCACAGAGCCAGTCGCCCATTCCCCCGGGGGTCGCATCGACGGCTGTGTGTGGGGAGTAGACGCTGATACCTTCCGAGGCGAGACGGAGGAGGGATTGTTGTTGGGGGTCGTTGAATGTGAGGGTTTTGAGGCCGCGGAAGATGATGGGGTCTAGTCCAGGATACTGGTAAGCTTGGTTTGCGTGCTGTGATAAATCAGAGCTGCGTACGGTATGCTACAACGGCTGAGGCTTTGCGAGCAATGGCTTCATCGGCAACGGCCTTGGTCAGGTCAATTGCGAGGAGGACCGAGTTTTTCTGTCTGCGCGTAGGATTGAAGGGGGCTTCGAGGAGTACTAGGGTGTGACGTCGTCAGTGAGGGGATGGCATTGACGCTGGCAAGGGTAACTCACAGCCTGTGTTGTCAAAGCTCTTATCTGCTAAGGACTCTGGGTAACTTTGCAAGTCAGAGTCAACAATGTCCAACGGAGCAAAAGCTTCGTCAAGGTAGCTGCGGGGAACTTACAGCTTCCTCATCGAGTTCACCACTGCCCGCGTAAAAGGGGATGAGGTGACTGTTGCAGAGGCAGACATGGCGGAGAACAAGCGTATCGGAAAACGGTTCATATATGATTGAGATATGGGTGAGATGTCAAGAAGTAATGAGTGCGGAGTTAAAGACGCATTGATTTAAGACGCGGAGAGAAGCTGGCGCCACAGTTTCCTGCCTGAGGCTAGAAGCCTTAGCCACAATATACTACAGCCAGCGGACCAATCAGATCTCTAGCACGACTACTTTGGAGGAAACAATGGGAGTAGCGTTGATCAAATTAAATCATAAAAGCTATGATGCTAATACATCAAATAAAAGTCTTCTTCGGCGGTGCCGCCCCCAAAACAAGCTCCATGTCCGGATCGCCCTTCTTCATGGCACGTTGATAGGCCTCCCTCTCCGCAAACCGTGCAATATACTTGATAAGGTTCGGAAACCCCTCCAGACTAAACGGGCCGAAATACCGCATCGTCGTCAAAGGAAACCCCATCATAATATCCGCGGCAGTGAATTCCTCCCCTGCAAGCCACGTGTTATCCCTCAACCGATCATCCAGACACTTCAGACCGTGGTTCAACCTCGTCTTCGTAAAAGCCACCATCTGGTTTGAATCATCCAGACCCGCAAACTTCGCCATCATAAGCCGTCCCGCGGCAGGCACAAGCGTCCCATTCGACCAGTGGAACCAGTAGAGGAATTCCGCGTATGCTGGGTGGTCAGGGCCAAGGAGTAGCTTTCCACCGGCATGCTTGCGGCAAATCCACTCAATGCAGGCACCGCTTTCGGCAAGGGTAATGTCTCTGTCCCCGTCCGTGTCTTGGATAGTCGGCGCAGAGCCCTGCGGGTGAATGGCTTTGAACTCTGGCGGGGCGAGGAGGGGCGAGCGGTCGTAGCATTTGAGGGTGTAGGTGAGGCCGAGCTCTTCGCAGAGCCAGACTATGCGTTCGGACTGGGAGACGCGGAGGTGGTGGACTGTCAGCGGCATGGTCGGTGTATTATGACAATTGGGATAATAGAATGAAAAGGGGTCGCAGTGAAGCTTTATAGTTGGGCCGTGGCACCTTACGACACCATGGACGGACGATCATTGCTTATCTTACCTATCGCCGCCAAGATCGTCACCTCCGACTCTCCGGGCCAATCCCATAATAATCTCCGATGCTCCGCGCTCATTCTTGTCGACCAACTGAACCTTTTTCTTCGTGTCCTCCGTTTCCTCCGCAGATGACACCCTAGCATACGGGTGTTTCTTACCAGGCCATAGACCTTACCTGCAGCAAATCAAGCCCTGGACTGGGAGTGAATGGCTTTTCGGAACGCCCTCCAACTAGCTCTCCATCTGCATAAGGTCCAGACCCACCTTTTGGTCCTGCATAAGCGGATCTGCGCGTTATGCAGGGATCTAGTTCACCAACTAGCCTATTCTTGTGCTACATAAAATCATAGATACTATGAAGTGTATTGGCTTGTCCTTGTCCTAAATTGATACTATCACAAGCACACACCGATACCACATATCTGACTGGGGCTCACAGGATAGCATGAGCAAACAGACTGAATTGCTTCGTGCATGCTTCCTTGACCCTCAATTGGCTCGTTTCTAGATCTCATGTTAACGGCCAAAAAGCGTGCCCCAGTCATTTTTGAACTCAGTGCGCTTGTAGCTCCTTCAGCGGTTGACATGGCTTGGGGTCCGAGGTTTGCAGTCTGAAGCTATCGTGTATCAGCAGTGAATATAGCCCCTAGTTAAGCCTAATAGTAAAGAAAACAAGACAAACCCGTATATATGACCCGGTGGATCTATATATTGTCTCGATTGTAAGGGGTAGGTAAAGAGATGCTTAGGGACATGTTGCTAGAACTGCTAAGATCTATTCCTGCTTTCATGTCCTAGGAGCAGACTCAAAAAGCTGAGTGGTGGAAAGCTTAGTATAGTATAACATCGAGATATACCTATATGACATCAACCTAAGAGATAAACTAGAAAACATTGATAACCACAAGGATAATGGATCTATTCCCCACGTAGCTGAGCTTTGGAGATTTAAGCTTAGTCTCATGTTTGGTGAAAAGCCGCGCAGTTGCAGGTGGCAGTTGATGACAAGCCTGCTTTCGATGAGGCCCGAGTTCGGCATCGAGACTTTCAGGCCGAGGCTAACAGTCAGTACGGCTTCTGATACAGATAAATTCAGATACAGAGGAGGGGAATTTTTTCCAGGATGCCTCCAGAGGTTGCATACATCTCCAAATCCGAACACGGTTTGAGCTGCAGCTGAGACACATGGAACAGAAAAGCCCGCTGTTTGCATTTATCTACTAACTGTAGCACGTCGAGTTCACCAACGTCCAACAAATTTGTAGGGATTGGTGACTCGAGTTCCTCCGGGTGAGGATGGATGAAGCTCTCCTACAACAGCCTTGCTCTCGTTGCCAGCCCTGGCAGGAAACATCATCTCATGTACTAGCCAGGGCTTTTATAAGTTGATCTAAAAGAACGGCCTGCATTACAGCTGCTTCATGGCCGCAAAATCTCGACCAGTTTGTCACTATCCTCGGCAGCTTTGGATGGTCACGAACGCACCTGCTCCCAGTTCTTCAGGGGATTTCCCAATTAGGTCCACTTGACCAACAAAGTGCCGCAACCATTTTAGACCCAGCTTGACATATATCCTTAATACTGTGCTGTTGAAGCCAAATTGGTCACTATCTCCAGCTTCAATCAACTAGAAGGTCCAAGGGTGGCGAGTTGGCAGAAGAGTATGCGGGTGAGTGAAATTACGTTGATGGGCTGATCTTTGACGGGGATGGCAACGTGCAGAGTATGTGGACCAAGACATGTAACCCAGCAAGTCAGTGGAAGCGTCTTTCCCTCATTAACGGGCGCTTGTCCGGGCTGCGTCAGAGCTCTGAGCTAGTTCCTCGTTTACGCCCATGACCATTTCCTGGTATGATACGGTACTCGGGTCTTCCAACCGAATCTCCTCTTGCATTAATATATTGTGGTTTAAATTCCCAATGTGTTTCCCTCTGAAACTTGTGCCTCAGGCTGCGAGAGTTAGGGCACAGTCCAGTCTCCACTCCAGCCCGTCGGACAGGCCCTGAATATTGTTGTAATTTTTGTCGATGCTCGCGTTGGCCATGGTCAATGGTAGGCTATAGCCCTGCTGGTGTGGCCTCGCTGTTTCGTAGAGTAAGAGTAATAGTAAGGACGATCGTTTTCAGATAGATTGCATCTATAGAAGTTGGAAAGTGCCGCTATTCGTACATGTCCCTGTTCTTCACCTATATGTGCACTTGCCTATCGCCTGGACAAGTCTATTCATATGTACATCCCGTGTCCAAGCATGCGCTCCTCAGCTCCATCATCTTTGAGTCAATCATTACCATGAGCTATATCTCGCATTCCCCGGATTCGCTTCGAAACGTATACCAGACTAAGCTTGTGGCTTTCTACGCGACGCTCAAATCAGAGCCACAGACATCCTATCCCGGTCAGCAATCATAAACCAAGAGAATCTAGGGCTCCGTGAACCAACCTTGCGCCGAGCAGCAAAATCGGCATAGAACCCTAGCCAGAGATCTCGAGCCCGACAATCATCGTTTTGCCCGGTCGCTTCATTAAAGACGCAAGTAGGCTGTTGCTCTTGAACAACCGCGGAGGTGGAGGCACTGCCCGCAAGCCAGGGCTTAGGGTTAGGCAAATGTCAGCACCACACCAAAGCAACGAGCATGGATAACCCACATACCTTCGGGACCGGCCAATCCGAAAAATGCAAATACTTCGCCTTCTTCAGTACATTATCCATATCCCACACTTCCAGCTCATTGCCCAGGTATGCGGCGTGGGACTTGGCCCGGAAGTCGCCGGTCAACAGGGTATAAGGACGATGCGGCAGGATGAGCGCGCTGTGTTTGTAGAGGTTGTTGATGATCTCCATGTCGTAGTCTGATGGGCCGGCGGATGAGATGGCGACCATGATGCGGCTGAATTCGAAGGCGGACGGCTCGATCAGCATGAGTTGCGAGCTAAGGGTGTGGTCCTCCGGGTTTAGCCAATATGCTCGGGGAAGCGCTATGGGGCACGGTGGGAGGAGGAAGAGTTCGTCCATGGACTAGTAGGGTCGGTTAGAGTAGAAAGGGAAGAGGGCGGAGGGCGTGTTGGGTGTGTGGTACCTGGAGAATAGTTGCGTCCGAGTCTAGACTCAGGACTCGCTCGTACTGGGTTTGGTTGAAAGCAAGGAGCTTGGTGTAGCTTTCTGCCCAAGTGACTGAACGCGAGATATGGAGGTTAGCCTGGGAAAACAAAAGAAGAAGGAGGAGGCGAACGCGTACCATCACCACTAACGCGACTCTGCACTTTAATAGGCACCAGCTTCACGCCGTACTCATCCCGCGCCTTGCGAAGCAGCCGGCTCTCTCTCGACGGGCCCTGCGCATCAACGGAGAAGCTGTCTGGATACATCATCAAGCGATCGGGCTTGCTGTCCAAGCGATGCAGCGTCTCGAAGAGCATGACCGAGTTGCAAAGGTACGCGGTATTCGTGGCATACTGGGTGTATGCGAAGCGAGACCAATCTACCGGGTCTGCACGATGGAACGAAGAAGGATGAGCATGGCCTGTGATTGAGAAATGCCGCTGCAGTTTGAACAGCGTTGCGGCCGCAATGAGGAAGCAGAGAACGACAGTCACCGTTCGCCAGGCTCGCGGCGACGCCAGATCTATATACCGGTACATCTGCTCAATCTTCGCTGATAGATTAGATGGATAACTGCACAATACATGCAGGGGACCGATCAAGCCAGGAGTTGACGTCGACGGTCTTTTTGTTGGGACGACGGAGACAAAGCGGACCAAATATAGGCCGTCGACCGCATCCGGCATTGTGCTGTCTCATGAGCCCCGTAGCATCTGTTTCTTTGTTGGAGGTAGCTTTCAGGGTAATAATCAACGTTGGTTGATGCTAATGTCTAGTGGTTGATGTTTATGTCTGTTGGTGGTGTCAGGAGTGAGATGCGCTTAGAACCCCATTAAAGCAAAATACACACTCGATCTACGAAGGCGACCGTGCTAGAGAGCTCTAAACTGTGACCGGTACTATTGAATCGGAAGGCGGGATAATTTTAGAAGATATATAATGTCTCAAGTCAAGACATCCAGGCCTCTGTTTGCCCTCCTTTCCCTACAGTAGCTGGAATTCAACCTCACCTTCGTAGACTGCGTTCATATCTCAATGGAAATGCCCGTAGCATTGCCGAACGACCTGTAGGCCTGAAACGTTGTCAACTACAGCTAGCAGAGGAGACAACTGTCATTGACACTGCAGATTTCAGGTCGACGTTGACAAGCGGATCTAAAGACCGGCGGGAGAGATAAAAGCATAAAGCCCAGTTTGATATTCTTGCTAGTCGGACTCTGCTACCAAGGCTAGTATTCGCACAGCCCCCAAGCCTCCCAGGGGTCGGTGCCAGTATAGCAACGTCCCTCACAGCACCCAGGACACCACGCACCCCGTATGCAGCACGAGTAACCAAGCTTCTGGCACTGCCCTGATTGGTTTAAATGGATAGCGTATGTCGTTAGCGCTCTGCTTTTTCCGAAGAGCGGACGGGGTAGAACGTACGTTCTCGGAGGGGCTGCTCTAGCTCGGCGCCTGGGAATTCGGTGCCAGCTTGGCGAGGAGCCCTGTTGTCTTCGGCCATCGTCCGTACGCAGCAGGTCCAGGAGTCGCTCTTGGTTTTGATCGTGAGCCATCATAAAGCTAAAGGGATAGAGAAGGAGGCAGAGGCAGCGTCTCTATACCTGGACTAGGTAAGTTGCGTCCTAGAACTCAGTCAAGTCGTTAGTCATAGACGAATACTGCTGGAACGTCGACGCTGTGGGTAGGTAGCGGTACCATGTTCTCCGGGCAGGCCGTCTTCTGCGAGAACCGAGCCTGGAGACAGTTTGGGCTTCCGTTGGAAAAGGCATGTTTGAGGATGGTCAATATGTCGGGACCTGGAAGTGCCAAAGTAGACGGTAGGGCAATGGTGCCTAGAATGAAGTGAGAAAGCAGCATTCTGGAATGATGGCTCGGAGTCTAAAGGGCTGGCGGTGGTATGGTAGGGGCTAGTTATAAGAGCCGCCATCCTGACTTCCAGATGTGACATCAACCCCTTATCAGCATGACATCTCTGTTACCTTCAAGTCAATGATCGTTTGATACATTGTAATGTTGGCGTCCACGCAATGCCCCAGGGAAAGGCTGCTTGTGATTGACGTATGTGGCACTAATTGTGATGGAGTATGACAGGTCCAGGCGCTCATACATGCTATTAGAGCAGTAAATATGAACAGAATCTGGACATAATCATCATATAATCGTAAGTGCTCAGCGGCAGATACATAATCTGCGAATGCTGTTCGAATAGTATTGTCCATAGAGCTTGGAATATACTTGTATGTTTCCATGGCTAGACTGCCTGGTGGCTGAATTAGGGTTTCAGATGACGAGAGCCCCACGTTGGTGAAATGTACAGCATCATCCTCAGTAAATAACAGCCACTCTCATGGACAGTTAAGACAAGACTAAGAGCCAAGTTATATCGAAAGGCGCATCAAGCCTCTCTCCTCCGTCTCCAAAAGCCTCCCATCGCCGAAAAGCCCAGACAGCAGACAGCCCCAAGCTGCCATCAACCAGTCCAAGCACCGCAAAGAAGCACGAGCGCCCAAGCGCATCCAACAACGGCTGAAGGACAGCAACCGCCATAGCAAAGAGGCAAATCTGGTGAGGTTATTAGCGGTTGCGGCCGTATCCGGCCGCTCAGTGAAGATATCGACAAGCAAGGCGCCGAACATCTGCAAGGCAGCGGTGCATTTAGCGCCGAGGAAGGCCTTTAGGAACCAAAAGGACGCTCTGGCGGGTATGTCGCTCAATCGCCGATCCGTAGCCGATCAAGGCGAAGATGGAGAGGGATAGGATGGTGTAGGAGCCTCGAGATCAGGCTATTTCGTACGGGAATGGTCCTCGATTTTCCGATGCCACTTCTGCGTTGGTTCCTATACCGCATTTCCGCCGTGTGCTTGCAGTTCCAGTCCATTGGCCGTCCTGCAATGAGGCCTCCAAGGATGACGCCGAGTCCGCCGGGGAGGAAGCAGAGCCCGATCAGGTCGTTGTATCCGCAAATGTCTTTACCAAAGATCAAAGGGATAGAAGTCTGGATGCAGTACCATACAGTATATGGGGAGGTAGCCATCCACAGTATAAGCAATGTGTCTCGGTATAAGATGATTCTCACTGAAAGCGGGTATGGTATGACCCATTTGCCCTTACCCGTTGACCCCAGAACGCGGGCGACACAGCCTGGAAGACCACGTAGATGGTAATGGTGACATTAATCAGCTGATTGGAGATGCGGTATTGCAGGCTGAGGAGGTCGATGAGCGGGAAGTAGGTTGTGGCTGTCAAGAATGAAGCGAGAGTCAGGTAGGTCAGGAGGTAGGTCAGGCAGTGCTTTTGTCCGAAAATTAACGGTTGTGTAAGGCTCTTGAGGCTCAGACATTCTTCAAGCCCTGGGAGATGAGACATGGTTTGTGTCTGCCAGGTGCGGGGAGGAAAAGGAAGAGAGTGATTTGGAGGGGAGAGACACAGAGAGGGGAACGTTGTTAGGCGATGGCCCGTCATCCATCCACACTCTTTCTCATCAGCACACCCTTCAAGGCATCGATTCTCTCCAGAAGCTCCGGGAACAGCAGCAATTTCAGCTACTTCTATGACCGATATCATAACAAAGAAAGAGCTCGGCGGTCGCCAAAGGACTCCCAATGCCGCCAGACGCAGTTTGTGCGTTGTGGGTAAGAACTCAACTCCAACTTCCCAAGGCACAGACTGGGTAGGGTCCCAGAATTCAAGATCTCAATGATTGATCCTCTGTTTGGATATACTATCTGAGCCAAAGGCATCCACAGTTGAAGAAAACATATCAAGATGACAGATTATTCCGTCTGGGACCAGGGAATCGCCGTCCCACCCGAGGATCTCCCACGTCGATGACCATGTCCTAGCAGGTCAGCAGCATCCTCGCTTACTCCTCCTCGTTATTTCCAGCTAACCGCCTCAAATCCCACAGAAATCCCCACCAGCTCAACCATCCTCGGCATCACCCCCACCCGTAACTCCCCCCCGGACCCGCACAGCGGAAATCAAAACAACAACCCCCACCGGCGCCAAAGTCTCCTACTTCCTCAAAGCTGCGCAGGGCAATACCGGCAAGGGAATGCTACACAGAGAGTACCACTCCATGTCCGCCCTGCACAGCGCCCAGCCCACGCTTGCCCCGAAACCACTAGCATGGGGTACATACAAAAACGAGCCAACAACGCACTTCTTCCTCTGCGCTTTCCACGTCATAACGGGTGGCATCCCCGATCTCACGGATTTCCCGCGCGTGGTGACGCAGCTGCACAAGAATGGGGTCTCGCCGGATGGGAAGTTTGGATTCCCTCTGCGGACATGTCAGAGACGACTCGCTCAGGATAATACGCAGTGTGATACGTGGGAGGAGGCATTTTCTAGAAGCATGGAGCAGTTTTTCGACGCTGAGGAAGAGGTGCAGGGGCCTGATGGCGTGATGGCGGTGCTCAGGGGGGAGTTATGGACAAGGCCATTCTGAGACTCTTTCGGCAGATGGAAACGGGTGAGCGGAAGGTCACGCCTTGTTTGGTTCATGGGGATATATGGGATGGTAATGTGTTGGCTAATGCTGTTACAGGGCGTGCTGGCCATATGTGCATCATGAATGTAACCTGGCTCCCTTAAGTCTCAACTTCAGGATTATGTCCTACATTGCGCTACGCTGACTAGCCCTAGATGAATTAGCTCTCTGGAGACTCCGACGGCATAGTATCGGGAAGCCGTACGTGAGCGAATATCTCAGACACTTCCCATTTCCTAACCGGTCGCGGACTTTGAGGACCGTAACGCCTGATACTGCGTGTCAGTGGTCCATACCCTAAGTCTCGACTGGCAAGACATTAACTGGAGGGTATTATAGAAGATTTGATCTATGTTCCTCGGCATTGTACCCAGGGAATCCTCTTTCCAGGAACCTGTAAGTTCCTCATCACCTCGACAAGAAACCCCATACTGATCGCATAATCAAGTGTGAAAGGAGGAATGAGAGAGCATATTGGGAAGTTCCCACTTGGATACGGGGGCTACATCGAGCAAGAAGGCACCCAGCAAGAGTTGGATCCTCCATCTCTTGTATCGCGTCTGCTCCCCGCTGCCCCAGGCTATGTAACCCCAAGCTGCAAGCCAACTTGGACGCCAGGCATACTATAGCCGTTCCAACGAAAACTACTTGTGATGGTACGATGTTGGTCACCTTTACATAACGCACTAGTAAGTGACACCCGCATAGAGGTGTACACTAGCCCAGATGCCCAGACGCCGGCCTTTCTGCATCCAGGAATGTGGCTACCCCAGATCGCGGGTCTTCTTAATAAACATAGTCTCTATATAAACTCGTGTTATCGTCCTTCTGCGCCAGAATGGTGTTGGCAGAAGCCTTCCGTCCAGGGCAGTGTATAGCATAGGATTTATCCACCACTCAAGGACGAGCGCTTCTGAGAGTGAATATGTAAACATGCACGATAATGCTGACTCGATGATTGCCAGTCGTCAGATGAAAGGTCTCAGATAGCACTCGTTGCCTGATCCAGCTACACTGCTGGGTATAAATACTACTGCCTGCATCCGTTGCGAGTAGAGTAAACCATAACCGGAAACAGAACGGCATCCTATCCATCTTTCTCTCCCTCTCTTGAAGTCGTCGTTGACTCTACCGCCTATCCTCATCATGAAGATCCTCGCCGTTACTGCGTTCATGGCCTTGGTCGCCAGCATTGCCGGTACCAACCCTTGTCTTCACAAGCACCCGGTCTCACCACTGCATGTTCCGTTCTAACATCCAGCTCTGCAGCTGGCGTAGTCCCATCAGGCTTGAAGCGCGACATCTCTGAGGCGGGTATGTCAGCTCCTGAGCAAGGGTATCTAGCCTCATTCTTACAATTCGTTTAGATGGCCCCATATTTCCCCCGTGGAAGCGTGACAGCTCCGAGGCCGGTATGTCAGACCCTTAGCAAGGGTATCCAGCACCATTCTTACAGTCCATTTAGATGGCCCCATATTTCCCCCGTGGAAGCGCGATAACTCTGAGGCCGGTATGTCAGCTCCTGAGCAAGGGTATCCAGCACCGTTCTGACCATTTAGATGGCCCCATATTTCCCCCGTGGAAACGCCACGACGCCGAATAGGTTCGTTCTGATCCCACCTCTCAATCACCAGTGGATATCATTCTTACCCAGATCTGTGCAGATGGCGTCGAGTACCCACCTTGGTAGGCTCGGTCGCAGGGCAAGCGGCAGTTGAACGAGGGTGCCAGAGCGGAATAAAGGACGCATGGAGAGATAATACTAGTCGAGGAGTTCTACCAATGAGTGAATGAAGCATCTTCTCTGAACAGCGCCGGTTCCTTAAAGGCTACCAAGCCCTAAGTTGTGCCCTCGTTTCCTCGTACGGAGTAGAACTATAGACTCAGCCAATCAGAACAGGAACGGCTGCGAGTCATGGAATCGCAGATTGACGTCACTAAAATCACTATCAATGCCAGGCTTCCGCGGGGCTCCATCGCCTGACTAACTGCATTGTCTCTCATAAAAGGGACATGGTTCGTTGGGGTAGTCTGTAGCCCTGCCCTTCACAGACCCCAGAAGCACAAGTCACTCGACCAAAATGGCGTTCAACGGCAAGAATGTTCTTATTGTAGGTTCTCGGAAACCTGATTCCACAATTATTCGTTACTAATGACGGTTTAGACTGGGGCATCCATGGGCATTGGGGAAGCAATCGTCCGGAAAGTCGCTGCTGAGGGGGCAAACCTCGCCCTATTTGCGCGTTCTGTGGTGAGACGCTTGCATTTTATCTCCAGGCAGACGGCGAGGTCTAATAAGTCCAGGACAAACTGCAAGGAATCACAGCCGATCTCCAGGGGAAAAACCCAAGGTCAAAGGTACTATACAAGGCCATCGACCTGCAGAGCTACGAGGCCGTCGAGAAAGCCGTCAGTGAGACGGTCAAAGAGCTCGGCGATATCGACATTCTGATCAACAATGTTTGGACCTACCCTGCGCTCCGCCAGATCATGGATTACACTAACTGCAGACAGGCCGGCCTCGCCCTCGGCGCCCCCGCCGCATTCCCAGACCTCAAAGTCTCCGACATTGTAACCATGAACAGCACGAACATTAACGGGCTCATGTTCGTGACATATGCCGTCCTCAACTCGTCCATGATGAAGCGGAAGGACGGCACGATCCTCAACGTCACCTCTGTCACCGGCCTGGAAGTGCCCCCGTTCCCCGGTGAAGCAGTGTATCACTCCAACAAGGCCGCGCAGGAAGCGTTCACCAACGCCCTGCGTAATGAACTCAGCGGGACGAATATCCGGGTTCTTGCGCTGCGGCCTGGTGTTGTTGCGACGAATTTCCACTCCTTGCGCGTGGGGCATGATAAGGGGATGTATGATGGCTTTATGGAGGGATATACGTGAGTTCATTTCTCTCCCGGAAGCGTAGTATCTGAGGTGACATGTGCTGATGCTGAATTGATATTAGACCTCTCGAGGCGGATGAAATTGCAGGTGCTGCCATCTATATGCTCCACCAGCCATTAAACATATCTGTGAAGGCTTTGGATGTGGTTCCATCGGGTAGGTGATGGAAGAATTTGAGTGAGCTGATAGCTGACTGCCACTAGCACAAAGATCACTCAACGTATTCGACCGGTCGTGGAGCGAGAGAAACAAGTAGTTTATGGACGAAGGTTGGATATGAGGAATCCGTATACTTATAACAATGCGTGATGAACAACCAGTATAGACTGCTGTCATTGACACCAAAGCCTGTCGTGTTCAAAAGTTTGTGTCAACACATAATTAGATTCGTTCCGGACCCTCAGGCGTATTCCTACCTATCAATTCCAGTCATCCGATTTGATGCTAAACACCAAACATAAAAAGTGCCGAAGTGGACTTCGAGATTTTCCCGCTTAGCGTGGTCACGGTGAGGATGAGCCACCGCTATGGACATTGAGGATGTTTCCAAAGCATAATCAGTTGAGTATGCGGGGGTGACTGGCCATAGATAATGGGAACCATTTGAGTACCGTATCAAAGTCTGGCCGCTGAGACGATTCTATTTCACGTCCCAGAACCCCAGGTCAAGTGTGGGATGGGTATAGGTGACAGCTCGTTTCTTTGCCCATCCAAACAAGAACCGCCCCTCCACCGGTGCACTCTGTTAAAACAAGTTCCCAACCGTGCCTTCTCCAGTTGCTTTTGCCTCTTGTTTCAGTGGGCGGCTCGCATCTTTTCCGATGGGCTTATAAGGATAGCTCTCGATCCCAGTAGCATCCACAAACATCCTTGCAACCTTTGCCATATTTGTCTCACTTGAAAAGAGACTTAGCCAGTTAGGGCTTCAAAAAACATGTGGATCTGTCCCCTCAAGTATCTGGTCCCACTGTGAGAAGTCGAGGTCCGGTGCAACTGTCAAGAATTCCGACCACAGCTTGACCCAGTCCTCGTTCCATGGCGCAATCATCTCCGCACTTTCCTCCCCATCGCCGGTAAGGCCGGGAATATCTGCTGGCCCAGAAGCATTCATATCCGATGGCGTCCTTATTACACCCGACGGTGCGCCAGGTGTTGGATTATTTGCGCTCGGCCCTTGCCAGTTCAGCGTTGCCATGAATGTACACAAATTCTTCTCGATCGTTTCCCTGAAACCACACGATCCATCCGTCGACCTTTCCAGTATATCATGTGCAGCGAGGACTTTGGCCTTGCGTTCTGCTGCATCCGGGGCACTTGCATCAAACGAAACATCCGTCGCAAGGGTTAACGCTGCCGAGAAAGCATGCTGCGCAACAACCCAGAACTGATCCGGCGTCAAACCGACATTCGTCTTTTTCTCGTCCATTGAGTGCCACAGGTCGAGAACTACTTGCGCGGAAATGACACATACGTCGCGGGAATATTGGTACTTTGGATCGGCCATGCCCTTGAGGTAATAAGGACGATGGAGGCGGCAAAGCCTGGTGTGTACCGATAGATGCATGGTTATTCTCTGCCATCTAATGTAGGGCTTCCGGGCCCATCTATGCTGGGCTGCTTCATCCTGGTTGAGCTGAAAGATAGGCGGGAGTTCGGCAAGGCAGTTATAAAATCGTGCGTCCAGGGCTAGAATTGTATCATAGCTGGGCTCAACACCTGGGGCTATAGATGGCATTGAATCGACGACCTCACGGCAGTTAGATGCCAGTTTTGCGCGGGCTATCAGAAAGGTCGATGCTATTGGCTCTGACATAGGCTTGGGGTGCCGATATCCTGTTGCGGTAATGTCCATATCATCTAGCTGGCTAGGAAGGTCAACGCACATGTGGCTCGGATGGTAGAGGTAAGCATCTTCCGGTGTGCTTCCTGAGAATACAGATAGCCTAATTACTATTAGTGATAACAGTCAACTTCGGCGATATTAGCCCTACCAGTCTGCCGCAACCAAGTTCCACCAAATTCGCCGCTGGACTTCTAGCTCAATCACATTGCACTCGTTTGCTTTGCGCTCTGCGCGACGTTGTGACCCGTCGAGTCGATGTATCTCCATTGTATGCGCCATCCAATAGCATTGAGACCGGAGTAAGTGTCCGCCGAGACCATGGCCGCTGCCATTGGTGGCCAGATACGCCAGAAGCGTCAGAGCTGCCAAGGCAGTAGTCGACGCAGATACTGCTTCGATGTTTTCGACAAAAGACCGAGCAGTCCGCAAATACCCTTGATATGCTTGAGTTGCTTGTTCAGGCGAAGGCTCAAGTGAGCGCAACAGAGCAGGAGGTGGGGACGCAGCTGAGACGGCAAATACTGCGAAGAGCAGCATCGTGACGGACAAATCCGGAGGCTTTCCAGTAGATAAACCCCGATATGCCTCCCCCATTAGTTGACGCGTCGATGGTATATGCAAGATACCAATTGCGTGATGCATCGTTGCTGTGAAGTTGTTGAATAGCATTCTGGCTTCTTTCTGCGGTGGAAGAAGCTGATGGACGCCAGCCAGAGCTATCTCGCTCCGTACGGGTCCTGCATTCGCGGCAAATGTGGCGAATGGGGCATATTTCGGGCCGTACAGGCGTGATTTCTTAGTCTAGACAATGTCTCGCTCAGTAAGCGCCAGCACAGTCACATTATTTTAACTGGTCGGAGAGTAAGCTGGGGACCCAAACGCAGAGCACCCACTCCCGAGGAGGGTGACTCTCTAATCGCCATTCATACCGCGTACCCATTTGCTGTGGCGTCGCTGTCTTGCACCGACAAAGGTGTTGTCCCTTGGGGTCCAGATCTGGGGAGCCCTAAAGGCGTGGACGGCGACGAACAGGCATCTGGTCGGACCTGTCTACCTGTTGTTGCCCAAGATCATTGTCGGGACGGTCTACATCGGTGTCAGCTGCTGATGGTGCTGTCCTCGTTGACTCGCTGCACCCGCTGCGGCCTGCCATTTGAGACATGTTCTCCTCCGCTTCACATGGAGCGTTTGATCGCTTCCCCAGCACGCTGGCTAGTTTGGCTGATGGGAAACCAAGGAACTGGTGCCAGTTGGTGCTGGAAGTGCGGAGCATCTGTCGCTTCCGTTTCTTCCCCTCCGACTGGCCATCACAAACCTCGCGAGCGTAAACAAGCCCAGCTATGTGCGACGAGTGTGTGGCGTCGAGCTCCACAGTGCTACGATGCCCTGGGTCCGGGTCTTCGAGGTGCATCGCCGCGTGCTCCTGTCGCTCCATATGCCCGTTGTCCAGGAAGCCGGTCTCGGCCCGAAGGAAGTGATCTTTGATGGCCATCAAGATGCGGCTGTATTCGGGCAGCTGGAACTGGGTCCCTGTCTCTCGCCGGAGCACCTGCAGCAAGCGCTCAGAATCATTACCCCACAGGTACGGGCTGCTGCTACTCGTCTCATATTCCGGTAATGTAATCCCAGAAGCCTCGGTGCGCCGTTGTGCTGCAAGACCAAGGCATAGGAGCCGCACGAATGGCTGAACCAGCCACAAATATCGAACTAAGAGCTCGCCCACCTCGCGCGGGAGGTAGTGGTACATTATTTCGTGCTCATCACCAGCGATACGTCCATGATGGTATGCGGTCACAATCACCACTTGCTGGTCTTCAATGAACACATTCCAGCGCAGACCAGCCTCAGTGTTCTTATGCCGGACGACCAATAGCTCCGGCACGCGGGCTGGTGCTGCGACAATCATATGGACAATTATGCAAAGAAGCACTCGAAATTGAGTCATTTGTTGGAAGTACTCAATAACCTTGGTTGGATCTATGACATGATCGACAGCTACAAGGTTATGGACCCACGGATCCGATGCGAGCCTGTCAGATAGCCATGTCGTACCATCGACCGGCCATGGCGTCTCCCCATGCTTGAGGAAACTCCAACCCGGGATTTCCTGCATCGGGTCTTCATGCAGCTTTGACCATGGAATGACAGGCCATGCGGCATCTGATCCACCAACAGCCCAATCCAGCTTGTCCTTGGCCGCTCTGACAAGTCTATAGACGAGCCCGCGAAGTTCATTCATAGTGTATTTGACCTGCCGATAAAATAGCGTGTTTGGCCCATGCCATTGGAAATCTCCTATCTTCGACCCAAAGGTGTGCCAGTCAAGGAGGATGTCCATCGGCCAGACCCATTGATCGCTCGTGAGGCGGTTTACCGCCCACGCGAGGGAATCGCGAAAATCCAGAGATCTCTTTTCAACACCATCTGCATCAGACGGCGAGAGCACGGTCGACGAACTTGAGCAGGGGTAAGGATTGCTGTCGGACACGCTGCCACTGGCAGCCATGACAGCACCGCCACTACGTTTAGTGGCCTTTCCCTGTGACTGGAAGATGTTTCCCTTGTCTGAAGGATCCATGCAAAACGCATTATACACCACCAGAGACTGTGCCACCTGTATCAGCCCCGATAGCTTGCGAGTGTATGTCTCCGGCTGTTGCTAGCCCTTTCCTTCATATCCCTGCACTCCCATGGCACACACTAGAGCATACTCGTAGACGTTGTGTCCCTTTCGGGGCTGAATCAGCAACTCCAAACAAAAGTGAAGACATCGAGCCTCAATGGTTGATATGAAATAATTGTGTTGCTTCATGGATGAGTTTGCTTGTTTGACGACTGCCTCATCCTGCGCCGAGAGCCAAAGCTGCTTCCACCCAGCACGCTGCGCTTTCGTGAAGAATATCTCCAGCTTCGCTTCCCGCCATCTCCAGCCATTCATGACGCGGCCGAGACAGACCACTATCTCCTGCCACAGACGAACTGCCCTCCGCGTACTAATATTGTCCATGCAAGTGTTCAGTGGTATTTCACCCTTGCTTAGCCGTGTAGCAGTTACCTGGACATCGGCCCCGCACGTTTGCACCACCATCTGGCTCTGTTGGATCAGTTGGTCGACCGCGTCCCAGATCACGCGCATTGCCCGTTCACTCGGTTTGGAAACATCTTCTGCAGGGGCAGCAACAATTTCCAAAAGATCTGGAAGGTGCACCCCTTGTAGATACTTGTCCCACTGTGTCTTACCCATCCAAGTGATTTGTTCTTGACCGTCAGTCCTCTGGCTCATCGCATCCTTGAGGGCAGCATCATCACTTGCTAACTTGCCAGTGGCATATGCAAGGAAGTGCTCGAGGCGAAGAGTGGGCGACGTGCAGTGGGTAATTTCTATCTCTTCGGTACGGCCAATGATAGGGATGTAGTGGGAGCCCGCAAATATGGTGAACAGCTGCTGAAAGGAAACAGTCCGGTAGGGCGCTTTATCATAGGGCGTCGATATGTTGTGGACACTTTTGTAGTGTACGGCCAAGGATCCAACACTGCGACACACGTTTCGGCAGCTTGGGTCTACCACGCAAAGCTTACCGTCGTCATGGCGTGGAATACCACGCACGGATTGGTTGATATAGAAATTTCGGGACGTCAATATCGTCGTCGTTGACTGGAACTCCTGGCCATTGGAACAATTTTGCAGCAACTGTGGCGGCCTCCTCATCATTCAGCCTATGCTCACTTTTCTTCAGGTGTTTCTCGATTTGACTAGGTCGAACACGGATGCCGCACTTCTGGCAGACGACGACACGGGTCTCGTTTGCGAAAGCGAAAATCAAGGACTCCATACTATTGATATCAAGGAATGGCAACCTGACTGGCTGGCACACTGATCAAGAACAGGACTGGATCGATCTGGCGACTTAATGAATAAGTCATGGGGAGCAAGAGCGAGCGGAAGTCAAAGAAATGTGAGCAACGTAGGTCCCGTCATTTCTTAGGCGCAAGCTTTAATGCCGGGAGTAATGCGCGAGGCCGGAACAAAGTTTATTCCACCTAAAATACTAAAAATACTACTATTAATAGCTTATTTAATCTTTAATACTTTTATTAATAACCTATTTTAAATAATAACACTTTTTTTAATAGCCGTAATAATAGTAAATTTAATAAAGGTATTTAAAAAATAATAAAAAAATAAATTATATAAGTAATATATAGCTTATTTATATAAACCTATAATTTATAAACCCCTAATTTTTTAAATTTTTTTTATTATAATAGCTAATATTAAAAATAATAATAATACTGCTTTTTTTACTTACTTGCCTACTTTTACTTACTTACTTATTTTTTTATTAACCTAGCTGCTGGCAGCCTATATTACTAATATAATAAATTATTTAGGCTATAAATTAATAATTTTAAAAAAATTTTATAAATAATTATATTATTTATAATATAAGCTTATACTTTATAAGCTTATTAATAAAATTAATATAATAAAAAAGATTATAGCCCGCCTTATTAATAAAAAAGCTATTATTAAGTAATATATTAATATACTTATTAAGGGTAATTTAATTTATAGGTATTATACCTAAGGTTATAAGCTATTTATAAAGTATATTATTATATTAGGCCACTTTAATAATAATTATATAAATTATTATTAAAATAGCTTGGGTGCGTAATATACTAATAAATATAAGTTATAGCTTTTATTTATTTATAAATATATTAACTAATATATTTAGCTTTTATGCTGGGTAATAATAATAATAATAATAATAATAATAAAATAAAGAAAAAGAAGGAAAAAAAGGCTAAAAAGAATAAAAAAAAAAGGCTAAAAAGATTATAAAAAAAAAAAAAAAAAAAAAAGTAAATGCTACCACCCTGCTTATATATATTATTTAATTTATTTACTACTTATATTACCTTATAATTATAGTAGTAATAAACTTTAATATTATTATAGCCAGGCTAGCTACCTTATCCTATATTATAACCCTTATAATAAATAACCTTATTAATAAAGCTAGTTTTAAGGGTATTAAATATAATAATAATAATAAATAAGTAGTTTCTTTTAGTTTATTTTCCCTGGGGCTGGACCCTAGTAATAAAAAAGTTTAAATTTATTATAACTTATTAAGTATAGTTAACTATAAATATTATTAAAAATAACTTGTATAAACTATAGGCAAAGATTTAGTATTTAAAAGTAAGTATTTAATAAAATATTAATATTATTTTAATTTATTAATACCTTTTATTTAACTTTAAACTAATAAATTAACTACTTAATAATTTTAAAAGCCTTATTTAAAGTATATTATTATAGTTTATAACCTGTTAGTTAAATATTATAGCCTTATTTTATTAATATTTAAGTTATATTTTACTTTTAATAGGTAATAAAGGGCTATTACCTTATTTATTTTTATAATATTTAAAACTTAATTTTATAATACTAAGCTATATATTAATATAGCTACCTTTAGAATTAAACCTAATTATATTATTTTTTTAATATATTATTATAAAAAATAATTTATAATTATATTATTTATTATATTTTTATACTTTATTATAAAATTATTACCCGGCGTGCTAGCTATATAGTATATTATAAATTATATTAAGGTTATAAGTAATTATTATTAATAATTACTAGCTAAAATACTACTAGTATAAAAGCTAAAATTATAAGTTAAGTACTTAAAAACCACCTTTATATTACTTAATAATATAAAGGTAATTATAATATAAATTATTAAAAAGTACCCTTTTACGCCCTGTGTTTAGTGCATAGGAAAAAATAAATTATTTATAGGTTATATTATTATTAATAAGTTACTATCCAGCACCTGCACTAATTACTATTATATTTTAAAAAGTAAATATTATAATTATTATAATAAGTACCCTAACTAATAGTTTATAAAGCTAGTAACTAATTATAATAACCTAAAAATTAATATTAATAATATTACTACCGCCGCCCGTGCTATAAAAAAAAATATATAAAATTAAAAAAAAAAATAATAGCCATGCTATAAAGCGGTTATAATATTACCTAGTAAATAATTAAGTATTTACTTAAATATTAACTTTAGCTTAATTATAAACCCGCGGCCGCGCTAAGTAGCTTTATAACTTATTTAATATAATAATTACTTAAAAAAATATATTTATTATTACTTAAAAGGTATTTACTAAAATATACCTTAGTATTATAATTAAGTTTATAAAAAAAGTGGGTTTACTAGTAAAAAAAAAAGGTGGGGATAAATTCCCTGGTTTATTAAATAATTTTAATAAAAAGTTATTAAAAAATAATTAGTGTTTATAAGGCTAAATTCTAGTTAATAAAGCTAGTTTAAATTATTATTTTATTTTTAAATTTATACTTATATTATTATTACTCTTATAGCAAAAGATATTATTTATAATTATAGTAAATATATATTAGCAGTACCTTAAATAACCATCCTTATACCTTTATTTTTTAATATTAAATAAGCTGCTAACTAACTAGTTATAGCTAAAAGGTTTTTTAAATAATAATTTTTTAAATAACTATATATATAATATAGCCATGTATATAAAACCTAGTAAAAACTTTTTATATATAATAAGGTTTAAAATAACCTACTTAATAATAACCCCCTAAGCCTTATAAATTATTATTATATATGCTAGTATAGCCGGGAACTATATATAGGTATAAATAATATTATAGTAATAAAAGTCTTACCTTATATAAAAAATTAGCACCATGTTATAGTTATTATTTTTTTTAATATGCGGATTATTATACTAGTTAAAAATTATTATTAAAATAAGCAGCGCCTTCTAGGTGGGATTTATAATTTTTAATAATTATATAATATTTATTAATATACCTATAGTATTATTTATAAAACCCTTTTTTATTTAAATATTTTATATTAGCATAATATAATAATTAAAAAAGATTATAAGCTTTTTAGCTAGATTTTTAGCCTAATTTATTTTTATAGTTATAGTACTAGATTTAATATAATTAGCTTATAAAATAATTATAGGCTTACTAAAGTTTAATATATAGTTATAGTTATACTAGTATATATTATTTTTTTTTATATATATAAATTATATTTATAAAGGTATTACTTTTACTTATAAGTAACTTAGCCTATACTTGTGTTATAAGAAGCTCCTAGTTTTTTATTATAATAATATTTTTTTAAGCACTTTAGTATAAAAATAAATATATAAGCTATTTAAAAGCTTGCGGTTTAGTAATAAATAATATTTAGCTTAATAATAAGGTTAAATTAATTATATAAATACTAACTAGCCTTTTTTTTTATTTATAAGTAAAAACATGGTCTTAAAAAAAGGGCTTTAGTTAATTAAAGGCAGCTAGTAAAAGTCCCTAGCTAAAATAATATTTAAGCTACTAAAGGGTTTAGTTTTATAGTCCAGGAATATTTTATAATATTATTAATTAATATAATATAGTTATTTTAAACCTATTATAAACTTTTTATTAATAATTAAATATAATATGTTATAAAAACTTGCCTGCAAGGCTAATAATATTAAAGGCTATAAGTAATTATAACCCCCCTTACCTTTTAATATAACTAGTAATTAAAATAGCAAGTATAGGGTTTAATTACTAATATTATATATAATAATACTAGTTAAAACAGCTTATATAATAATAAAGGTTTTATAATTACTAGTATAAAAAGCTATATATTCTAGGGTTATAAATAACAGGCTAATAATATAAAATTTACTAGTACTAGCCTTATTATTTAAATTAATTAATAATTACTTTAGTAAGGGTAATAAATATATAAAAATAAATTATTACTTATTATTTATATAAAAAATTAATAAACCACGTAACTATAAGATACTTTTATAATATTTAATTATAATATTATATAGCTAGCGTTGCTTAACCTTTAGGCTATTTAAATAAGCTAATAAATAAGTTAATATATTTACTAGGTAATTTACCTTTATTAAATCCTAAAATTCCAGACTAAAACCGGGTTTTTTTATATACTAAGTTTAGTTATATTATTAATTAATATTATACTAGCCCAGGCTATTAAATTTTATAAAAAAACTATTATTATAGCTAGGCTACTAAGCTACCATAGCCTTTTAAAAAAGCATTTTAGTAATTAAGCTAGTATTATTATTTTAAGTTAATAAATTAGTTTTATTTTTTATATTTTTATTATTTTATATATAGCTATTTTTTTATAGCTATGGTATTTGCGGCAGTATTTATATATATTATAAAAGCTATTAAATATTAATTTATTAATTATATGTAGGTTATTTATTTTAATAAATAAATAATAAAGTATTAACTTAACACAGGCAAAATTTTTTAAGTTTATAACTTAATTATATATTAGGTAGTACTAAATAATATAATTTTTTATCTTGCTTTTAACCTTTTTATATACTTTAGGCTATAGGGTATAGCAGCGCATGTAATATAATAATATTAAATTAATAAGCTTTAATAATTATTATATATACTTTATTATTATATTTAAACCCTGTTTAATACTGCCTTTTTTATTACTAGTATTATTATAGTTTATATTTAGTAGTAAAAATAGGTTATCTTATTTTTAATTTATAAAATATAAAATAATAACTATACTATAGCTTAATATTTAAAGTAGTAGGCTTAATAAATAGTAATAAACCTTTTATATAAACTAATCTTACTTTATAATTAAGGTATTTATTATTTTTTATACTAGTAATAGTAAAAAATAGCATATATTAATATACTTAAAAACTAATTTTATAACTTTTTTAT